TCGTTCTTGCCGGACTCGACTGAATGGAGCTTTGTTCCCGAGCCGGGTTCTATCTACGGGCACCAAGGGCCTGGCCAGACGGAGGAACCTCCTTGGACTTGTGGTTGGCTCGCCTTGTGGATGGCCGAGAGGATTGCACGGCTCGGCGTGTCAGCAGAAGACTTGCAGGCATCCACGTCTAACCCGTGGCCGTGGGTCCCTACCGATCCACCTCCGCCCAACGTTGGTCAACCTTCTAGATCTCAAGCCGTACCTCCCTTGTCGCTCCTGATTGCCGAGCATGTGCGGTTCAAGTGGCTCGCTGATGCCGCCCGCTGCTGGACACCGCACGTAACGAAGGCTTGAAGGGTGTTTAGTCCGCTGCTCTTGTGTTTTATTGTTTAATTTATGTATTTAATTTTATCTATTCCATATGGGTACGGTTTTAGACGATTTAGCTAGCGTAGACAGACGGAGTTGGTTCAGCAAAACTAGCTCGCCGAAGGAACATGATTCTAGGGGTACAACATTGGTTTCATGCCTCATCCTGGATAGCCACGTAACTAGAATTGATGATACTATCGGTTACATGTCATAGACCTGGTCTGAAGCACGATCTGTTTGAGGTAGATCAGCTTGAAGAGACAGACTCAAGCGCGAAGAGGAATTCAGCGCAGTCAAGTTTCTGCCACCAGCCAGTGCTATGGACTAGGCCCACTAATCACAGAAAACGATAAAATACTGATAAACATGGATGGGGATGGGATCTTGAGGCGTTCATGCACCCCAAAGCCGCGGTCGAGTCACGAAAAGCAAGTCTCATCCCACGACAAGAAGCGCAAGTACCAATGGCCACTAACGGCTATGATTCAAATGTAAATTATCTGACAACACTTTTAAAACCTCGAAACTTGTTGTATCACGGCAGTGGTGGTCACACGAGGAGCGTCAAGAAGACCATTTGCACGATTCGCTAAGTCGGCTTCTATCAAGTGGAATCGGTCGGAACAAAAGCAAAGCAACTCTAACACTATTGGTAAGTATTATCACGTACCGGTGGCAGCATGGACGGCCGGTAAAACGACCGGACACTCGATCCATGGTTTTGCGAGTTGGCCGAAACTTTGGCCTCCTCCCACTCCGCATGATTTAGTACCACATCCGCCCCTCCGCAGATGTGATGTCTAATGCATGTCAGAAGCAAGAAAAAGTTACAATATCAGAGATCGGACGATGCTGGACAAAGATCGAGCACCCGCCAAATGGGTCATTTCCGACCCTTCGTGATCCACCCTCCAGATATCACCGCAATTCCGCATCAATGATTTAGACTCTAGTACTAATTTACTGTTGTCTGGTAAAATATTTCATGGATGCGACTCGGAAATCGCAAGTTAAAGCCCGTCGAATGTTTGGTCGGGTGCATCAACTAGAAACCAACGATCACTGTCCACGCGCGATATAGAGCGGATACTATAGAGTGTATAGAGTACATTGATATATGGCTGGTCAAGCTCCTAGGTGTCTACATGGCTGGATACGAGTGCGAAGCCAAGTCGGACGCATCGTGCGGCACCTCACTCGCCATAACGGTTTTCAACTCATCAGACATTGAACAATCGGAATATGTATGGATTACACGGACAGAGCTGGTGAAAGGCATCGATCTCGGGGCTAGCAGGTTTTGGACGAAATTCGAAAGGCCGATTCAGTCCTTCTTCGTGCTATCGAGCGCTACCGCCCGACCGATCCCGGATTCATATACACCATGCCAAGCGCTAACTTTCTATACTAGAGGTGGCGCTAACGGGCTGTCCTAGTCGGCGCCCTGAGGGCTCGTGGACGGCTGTCCATATCCAGCAGTCGGACACTGCCCCAGGCCCGCCCGTTCAATGGAGGTACCAGACCCATCTACTAGATTTTTAGAGACCATAATATCGGCGGTGGGTGCGGTCTAGGCCGAGATCGAGCGGTCGGCTTGGCCGCGACGGACCCGAAACCTGGTGCGGCCTCCAGCGCTTCGCTCCTGGCCGTCTCGCACATGATTCTATATCTAAAAAATCGGCTCATTCCAATGGTATACAGTAGAAGGGGCTGCAGTGCCGTTTTGAGGGACCTCGTCACCAGCTGCGACACGCAAAAAGGGGGTATCCGTACACGACGATGCAGGTGTCCCCCGTCCTCGCCAATGCAGCCACGGGGTGCTGTCAGGTCATGTACAAACCTGATGGGGTCAGGGCGGCGGGCGGTGGTGCACAGTGGCCTCAGTGAACTGGGGAAAAATTCCCATTGCAAAATGTATACCCGCAAGTTTCATTCAATGCATTTCACTCCGTACTTGATAGTCAAAACGACAAAGGTAACAACTACAGTAATTTTATTGGCAATTGGAGGCGCTCCACCGAAAACAAGCAACAGTGCAAACGTCTTTTTTTTTTTTTTTGTTGTTTTCCGTTTGCCCCCAACCTCGAGCATTGCTTACACACAAGTCCAGATGCGGATTGTATTGGTGTGCTGCGAGCCTTGTGAAAAACCATGCACGACAATGACAATGTCGCCGGGCTTGACAAAGCCGCGGGCCTTGGCAACCTCGACCGCCCAGTGAATGCGCTCCTCGACGTCACGCTCCCAGCTGGGGTTTCGCTCGCGCTTGTACTCGAGAGGATAGCAGCCGCGGTACAAGTGGACCTGGCGCGAAGTCTGTGCGTTGCGGGAGACGGTGAGAATCGGGCACGACGGGTGGTACTTGGACAGCAGACGGGCCGTGTTGCCAGAGGTGGTCAGGGCAACGATTGCTCGGGCCTCGGTCTCGAATGCGGCGTTGACGGCAGAGCAGGCAATAGCCTCGTCCACAGCGAGCGGCTTGGGGGTGTTTTGGCGCAGCTCGTCAAAGAGCGGGCGGTAGAAGAGGGCGCTCTCGGCTTCGAGGCAAATCTTGTGCATGATCGACACAGCCTCGATCGGATAGCTGCCCTTGGCAGTCTCGCCAGAAAGCATGACGCAGTCAGCGCCATCAAGGACAGCGTTTGCAACGTCACTAATCTCGGCGCGGGTTGGGCGCGGGTTGTACGTCATGGACTCGAGCATTTGCGTGGCGCAGATGACGGGCTTGCCGACCACGTTGCAGCGAGCAATAATCATCTTTTGGGCGAGGAAGACCTTCTCCGGGGGGATTTCAATGCCGAGGTCGCCGCGGGCAACCATGACACCGTCCGTCGCCTCGAGAATCTGCTGGAAGTTCTGCATGCCCTCGTGGTTTTCAATCTTGGAGATGATCAGGACGTTCTTGCCGCGCTCACCGAGGACCTGGCGGATTTCCTCGACATCTGCGCGCTTGCGAATGAACGAGGCAAAGACCATGTCGATGCCATTGTCGAGGCCAAACTTGATGTCCTCGCGGTCCTTGGGCGACAGCGCGGGCAGATCAACCTTGACGGTGGGCAAGTTGATGCCCTTGCGGCTTCCGATGCGCGCAGGGTTGAGCACCACAGTCTTGACCCAGTCGGGGCCAGTCTCAGTCACACGAAGCGAGACAAGACCATCGTCAACGTACACGAGGCCGTCCTTGGCCATGACGTGCGGCAGCTGCTTGTAGTCGCAAAAGATGCGCTTGTCATCGCCATCGTTGGCGTGTTCCGGGTTGGTGCTGATCAGAAGCTCCTGGCCGGCCTTCAGGTCAAATTCGCCAGGTTCGCGCATCAAGCCAGTGCGGATTTCAGGGCCCTTCGTGTCGAGCGCCAGGCCGACTGCCGAACCGGGGCTCTGCTGCATCGACGTGCGCAGGTTGTCGATGATGGACTTGTGGAACTGGGAGACGAGGAGGGGCGCCGACCAATTGTTAGTGATTACAAGTGCAGAGTTTTTTCAAAGTCTTGCAACGACGATTGGGAGAAGGGGGGGGGGGTGTTACCTCGTAGCTGCCGTGGCTAAAGTTCAAGCGGACAATGTTCATGCCGGCGCGGCGGAGCTCGGTGAGTCGCTCGACTGTGTTGGTCTTGGGGCCTGCGAGAGAAGAAGAGAAAGAGAGAAAGAGAAAAGAGAAAGAGAAGGAAGATCCAGGTTGAGTGCGGGGGAGACACAGACACGCAAGGAACAACACGAGAAGGGCAGAGTCAGCGACGAGAGCATAAATATGACCATCATCACGAGAGTAAGAAGAGAGTGGGAGAGAGAACGGGAGAGAAGGAGAAGGAGAAGAGGGAGAATTTTTAGGGTCGAACGCCGTGGTGAAATCACTCCACTCCGTCCTTACCAATCGTGCAGATGACGGAGGTCTTGCGGAGGCTGGTGGGCTCGCTGTAAATGTCGAGGAGGGCCACATGCTCAAGGGAGGTGTTGGTGGCCTGGGAGCGGCCCTGGTTGGTGGCGACGGTCGAGTTGACGGGCGCCTGGGGCAGCGCTTGACCAATGCCAAAGTTGACCACCTGCGGATCGCTCTTGATGTTCTGGTAGATGGACTCGAACGCAGGCATCGGGTAGGCAAACGCAGGCGACGACGCAGCCGACGCCGTGAACGGTCCAACCGTAGAAGGCATCAGCGAGTTGGTGGACATGGTCGGAGGTGGTGGGTTTTTGAAACTTGAGAGAAAAAAGTGAACTGAGGGGGAAAAAACCAAAAAAAAAAAAAAAACCAAAAAAAAAAACCAGTTAAAAATGCGTTCAAACAAGGGCAGTGAGTGCGTGTTTTGAAAACGACAAAGCGAAGAACGGAGCAGAAGCAAAAGCACACAACGCCGTGCGGGGGCAATATGAGCATGGCAAAGAGACAGCGAGACGACAACGAGAGAATGGAAGAGACAAAGCAGCACGCCGACTGTCAGCAGTGCGGGAAAAATGAGCGAGCGAGCGCATGGAAAAAGGAAAAAACCCCCCCTTTGGTCACGAACGCAATGGCCGACAGACCGTGTCGTGTGTGCCTGAGCGCGTTGAGAGAGGTACTGTTGAAGCAATGTGACAATGGAGCGACACTTTCGGGGACATCAGCACCAGAACAGTCACTTCAATTCAACATGACGAGAACGAAAAGGCATTCAAAAAAAAGAAAAAAAAAGAAAAGTAAAATAAAAAGCGATTGCGCAGAAACGCTGATTCGTCGAACGCACGAAGTGTGGTGGAGGTTGAGGTTTCTGTTTACCAAAAGCCAACAAAAAATGAAAACGCAAAGGAAGAGTGAGCCGAGGTATCAAGCGTTCCGGTTATGGAGGGAGGTGGGTGGGTTGCGCTCAGAGTGGAAGGAAGGAAGGAATTGGGCGAAATCCGAGATTTGGCTTTCTTCTGCATTCATCGCTCCTCAATGTACCGGAAATGTTGCACGGCTCATCAACAAAACCTTCAAAGGACAAAGGTGGAGAGTATATTGCAGAAGCTTTCCTTTGTTTTTAATTTGATGTTTTGGTTTTGGAGACCTCACGAGTAAGAGCAAACATCGAATAAGAAAATGGTTTCGGTTTTTTTCGAAAGAGCAACAACAGAGGGCTGCCATCGTTTGGAATCGCATGCACTTTGGGTTGAATCTATCATGCATTCAATGCCAAAACATCACTGTGGCCACGAGTCATAACGAATGTACAGCACTTGTCCGACCAGAGCTCGAAAATTGGTTGAGCATCGCAAGCGCTCAGCTCGACAAGAAACATGTAAATTGGGAATGAGTGGGTACATTGTTTGCAAGTTCATTCACATTGTTTGAAAGTTCATTCACAGGAAGACGGGAGGTTTTTTTTTTTTGAGCCAACCGTCATTACCAACAAAACAACAGGCATCACAAACACACACACGCACACACACACACAAAAAGGGACAGACAAATTGGTCGATCGATCTTGCACACATCCACACACACACTCACGCTCACACACAAAGACACAAAGACACCACACTATCGACTTAAACCATCTCAACATAGTTGGAGGGGAAGAGACCAATGCGGTTGCCGACACGGCCTTGCCACCAGCCGGGGTTGTCCTTGTTCAAAATATCAACCACATCGCCAGTGGTGAGCGCGAGCTCGTCCGTGTCATTGGCCGTGTAGTCGTAGATGGCACGGCATTGCGGGACGGCCTTGGGCGCGGGACGGGCGGGGCCGGGACCGGCTGCACCGCCGCGACCAGGGCCTGCCGGGCCGGCACCACGTCCACGAGGAGCAGCACCGCCGCGAGGAGGGCCAGCCGCAGCCATTCCGCCACGAGCCGGACCAGCGCCGGGTGGGCCACCGGCAGCCGAGGCCGGCGCGCCGCGCGGAGCCAAGCCACCTCGGGTCGGGCCGCCGCTCGGAGGGCCGCCAGCAGCAGCAGCGGGGGCACCACGGGGGGCCATGCCGCCACGGGGAGCCATGCCGCCGCGCATGGGCGGAGCAGCGCCGCGGGTTGGTGGGGCAGCGCGCATCGGCGGAGGAGCGTCATCCTCCTGGTCGTCTTGTTGTTGTGGGGCGGGTGCTTGTGGGGCGGGTGCACGGGGAGCCATGCCACCGCGCGTCGGGGGAGCACCACGAGCAGGCGGAGCAGCACCACGCGGCGGGGGAGCACCGCCACCACCACCAGAAGGAGCCGGAGGAGCGCGACCACGACCACCGCCGCCGCCACCACGGGGAGCGGATTGGCGAGCCACAGGTTGGAAGTTGGGACCTGTGTTGAGCAAACATACCACGACATGGCATGAGTCAGTTTGAGCGAATTCCTAAACTGCACGGAAACTTCCGACAAACGGAAATACAACCACTACAACCACCACCAGGTCTTCAACGGCTCGAAATAACTCACGAGAATCCTTCGGCAAACCTTGGCCAATCGTCACAATACCACCCTTGCCACCGGGCTTAACAATGGCGAGATCGCCCTGGCCGTACGAGAAGGCAATCATGCGAGTACCGGCGCTGTCCATAAAGCCACCCTTCTTGACAGTGTACTGGATCTTGTCCGAAAAGTTGACGGTGAGCTTCCGTTGAGTGGCGGCCAAGTACTTGTCGCTGAGCGTGGTGAGGAACTCGGTCTTGAAGATGAGCTCAAACACGTTGTCGTACTCGCTCGGGACGTGCAGAATGACGAAATCGTCCTGGAACGGGCTGAGCGTTACGCCAGAGATTTGCGCCATCTCGATGCGGCGCTTGACCTCCAGCACGAGCTTGCCCTTCTCGGGACCCTTTTGCACCTTCTCCAATGCAACCAAGTACAAGGCCTGCGATGTAAGCAGCAGGTCTCGCTTTTGGCCGTTGAAGCGACGGTCGTATTTCATGACGTCGCAGGCAAACTCGACACGCTCCTTCTTGGCTGTGTTGATCATAAATTGGGGGGGGGGGGCAAACGCGACAAGGAAGGGAGCACTGTCAGTCACGCTTCTCCCAAAAAAAAAAAAAAAAAACAAACAACAACAACAACAACAAAAAAAAAAAAAACCCAAAAAAACCCCAACACCCCACCACGAAATCACACAACCACCATCACCAACACAGAGCACCACTCACGTAGCAATGCACGAAGCGCTGGGTTGTCCTGGAAGCCAATGTAGTCGCCGACAAAGTTGCGGTTGAGACTGCCTCGCCTGCGTTCCTTCTTGCCAAAGAGAATGTCGGTAGCCTTCTGCTTGAGCTCGTGCATGTGCTTGCGGGCACGATACTGGCGGAAGGCGCGTTGAATCTTGCGGCAGAACGCGTCGAACTTGCGCTCGCGCAGCTCTTCCAGCAAGAAGAGCGACTCGGGATTTTTGACGAAAATCTTGGTCGAACCAAGCTGCCATTGCGAGTTGTCCATGTCGACCTTGTTGAGGAGGAACTTGACGCCTTCAACCGGAGAGCCGTTCCAATGAGGGAAGGTTTCGGGAGTCAGAATGGCAAAGCGACGCAGGAACTTGTCAAACACTTGGCGGTAGGCAAAGCCGGCACGACGGACACGAATGTTCTCCTTCAGACCGAGGTACTGGACCTGATGGGTGCAGCGCTTGGCATCCCAATCGTGTGCCTGCTTGGTTTCGTTCGGCTTGATGCAGCGAATGTAGTGCGGGGTGCATTTCATGAGCGTGTCGACAAGCTCGTTGGCCTGGGTCTTGATCTTGGTCGAGGCCGTGGTGGGGCGCTTCTTGTCGTCATTGTTGGTGTCTTCGGGGAAGAGCGAGCGGATGAAGGCGCTCGACGACGACTGCATCAGCATGATCAAGTCCTTGAAGAGCACGTCACGATTGCGCTCGCAGAAGCCGTCAACATCGTACGTCACGCGACCGGCGTAGTGTTGGATGACAAAGGCACCCGACATGCTCGAAAAGTGCTCGTTCGAGCTGACAGCGGGTGCAAGCTTTTCCAAGAACTTGCCATCAGCGCCGTCACCCTGAGCGTGCAGCGTGGCGCACACGTCGTCGAGCACGCACATGACGCCTGGCGGGCGCTTGGACTCGATGAGGTCGCACACAACCTTGTTGTTAAAGAACTGAATGGGGGTCCATTGGATGCCCTCGCGGACGTACTCTTCCTGCTCGGCCTTGAGCGTGAGTTCGATGAAGATTTGCTGAAGCTTCTCGTTGACAAAGTTGATGCAGAATTGCTCAAAGCCGTTTTTCTGGATTCAAGGAAAGCAAAGAGGACCACAAAAAAAAAAAAAAAAAAAAAAAAAAAAAAAGAAAGATGATGAATATGATGCAAACCCCTTAAAGCAGCAGACGTAACACGTCGCCGTAGCAGATTGGGTGTGTGCGAGCGTTACCGTGAAAATCTCAAAGCCATAAATATCGAGCACACCAATGGCCAGTTCGACTTTCTGCTTGACCATGGCAGCGTTGATAGTCTACACACCAAAGTCAGACCATGCAGTGCATGAGTAAACCGTCCGGTTCATGCCAGTTGATGGACAAATGGAGAGAGAGAGAGAGCAAGCCAAACGTTACCTGGACGAGAAAATCGAACAAGCGCGAGTAGAGTGCCTTGGAGAGTGCATCACGAGTGTACATGGTCTGAGAGCAATAGGAAAAAAAAAACAGAAAAAGCCGCGCACATGGATTGAACATACACAGCAGCAGATGATGAGAATCCATGGGACGGACAGAGAGTGGAGTTGTGAAATTGCATGCTTTACCTGCTCAACGTTGAGCGTCACATTCGTCACTTCAGTCTTGCCACCCCACTTGCTCTCCATGATGCGACTGGTGAGCTTTTGGTTGAGCTGGTCTGCCTCAATGCCGAGAAGATAGGCGGGGAATTCGAGGAATTGGGGATCGGCGACCTGGGCGTAGTTGCCATTCTCGACGTACTCGAGGTTGCCCAGGTGCAGAATACCTGCAACAATCTTGTACACCTCATTCTGGATGTCGTTGCTCAGGCCCATGACGCCCATAGCCTTTGTCGTTTCGTGGAATTCGGCGACGTCGTCCGTGCCGTCAACAGTGAAGCAACCGCTCTTGTTCAGGTAGTTGTAGTACTGTGGCTCAGTGATGCCGAAGGCCTCCTTTTGCTGAGCATTGGCGCCGAAACACAGCTGGTAGAAGATGTGGAAGTTGCGCTCCTCGCGGTTTTGGCCAACCACGCGACTCTTTTCCAGCAAAAAGTTGGAAATCTTGCCACCGTCTGGCTCACCTCCGCGAGAGAACTGAATCTCAAAGTACTTGCCCTGTGGGAGGAGGAGGTGGTGGTGGTGGTGGTAAAGGAGGAGGAGGAGTGAGAAAAGGAGAACAGAAACCAAACCAAAAACGACAACAACAACAAAAGGACGTACGAAACGGGACGAGTTGTTGTTGCGCACAGTCTTGGCGTTGCCAAAGGCTTCGAGAAGCGGGTTGGACTCGAGAATGACATCCTTGACGCGCTGGACGGCGGGACCACCACCAGAGACACGCGCAATGTACTGCATAATGTACTTGGCAGCGACCGTCTTGCCAGCACCCGACTCGCCCGAGATGATGACGCATTGGTTTTCCATCTCGATGAGCATATTGCGGTACATGTTGTCCGAGAGCGCATAGACGTGCGGCGGGTTTTCGTGAGCAGACTATTTGTGGAGTGGTTCGCCAGGTCAGTCAGTTAGTCAAAATTTGACACGGCAGGCAGCACGTGAGTGCGAGAGGTCGCAAGTTCAAAGGTTGGGTAGAGGGATGGAAGAAAAGGGGGCAGAGAATGAGGCGAGCAAAGTTGTAGAACAGAGGGAAAAAAAAAAAGGAAAAAAAAAAGGGTCAGGCAGGCAAGCGAGTATCGAGTTTCGAACTGAGTTCTCTTTCAAGATTCATTGCTGATGCTTGCATAGAGTTGAGAAATTGCTTTAGGCTCAATTGCGATGTTGTCAGCCCGAGTGGCTCGCTTGCGACAGAAACCGGTTGGGCGTTTCGTAATTGAGTTGAATCAAGCTCAAAAAGAAGGCGAAAGAGCGATGGCAACGCAGTCGCAGTTGCGTTTCACACCATGAAATAGTCATGTTGGACGAGGGATGGCGTGGGGAAGGAAAAGTGGGAAAGTGGGATGACATCACTCGGCTCGATTGGATAATCATCCTCGAGCTCAGTCCTCCCTGTTCGCTGCACAACAAACAAACAAGGAAGCAACTTACGGCGCCTTGATACTGCTCAATCTCGCGATCAGTAAAGTAGGGCATGGACTTGAAAGGGTTGACTGAAATCAGCACGGGCCCAATGTATGTCTGTTTGCAGAAGCAAATGATGTTTCAAAGTCAGCGGCGCGGCCTCATGCAGCAAGAAGCAAGAGACAGAGTCTTGCAAGCTCAGCTCTGACGCACAAAGATCAAATCATCCATGTAGCGCTTCTTGAGATTGTCGACAATCTGGTCCTCTGAGATTTTGGACAAGAGGACCATGTCCTCGACACCCGAGGACTTGACGTTCTTGGACTGCCAATGGTACTGCGGCTGTTACACATCCCAAGTCCAAGCACACACGCACACACGCACACACGTTCCAAGCGTTAGCACACGACACAGTACAGCAAGTGTGATTGAAGCAGAAAACAAGCCTCCATTCCAAAGCAAAAGTCGTAGAATGTTCGTAACTTTTCCACAGAACCACTTCAATCCGTGCCCCGTCCATGGATTCCCCCCCGTCCCCAACACAATCAGTTCCACTCGCAGTCACTCGCACTGACATGCACCAACAAGCAAGAGACGGCGCTGCGGATGTGCAATCGTCAGGGTTTTCTGCCGGAATGGTCAAAGCGGCTGGTTTACAGAAAAGGAAGGCAACAACCACCAGATTTTTTTTTTTTTTTTTTTTTTTTTGTGATCGAGCTCATGTTTTGGTGTGTTTTTTGAAACGACGAGCGAGCGACCAGCAATCGAGCACGAGAATGGCACACAGCGTCTGCTCCATGCATGTGCGCTTGTCGGCAGCCATCCACGCGAGTGAGTGCGACCTGGCGATGAGGGGGCGACGACAAACCACAACAGGAAAAAAAAGAACGAAAAAGAAAAAGCGAACCAAAAAAAAAAAGAAAAAAAAAAGGCGTTTCTTTTTTTTCATTTGATTCTTTGGTTCTTTTGTGTTCGGACTGTTGGTTGTTTTGACCCAGTGCATCCACGATGGGTATCGTCCGAAAATCGAGTGGCACAGCAAACAGCGGATCCCGTGGAGAGCGGACGAAACTAGACACAAAGCCAACACCGAGCGTTTGCCATTAAAAAAAAAAAAAGAAAAAAAAAAAAAGCAAAGGACGCGGTTCCAGCGTCAAATCCTCATTCTCGCCCTGCTGCTTTTTGCTTTGTGCTTTGGGGTGTTTCCAGCGACGTGGATGTTTCTCCTATCTTCCCTCTCTGTTGCCACTCTCCCGTTGGTGGCTTGGAATGGCGTTGCAAGTCCGGATGTGCGACGCTCATCAGCAGAGCGAGTCAAAATGACGAAGAGAAAAAAGAAAAACTCAAAGATTTTTCACTCAAAACCAGTTGTTGTAGGATTGTTATTATTTACCATGAAGAAAGAGTAAGAAAAAAAAAAAAAAAAAAAAAAAGAAGAATGAAAAAAAAAAAAAACCAAAACATCAAAAATAATAAATAATAATAAAATAATAATAAATGCGAAAATCGTCTTTTTTTTTTTTTTTTTTTTTTCGGTTTCCATTCTTTCGATTCTTTTTCTTATTGAGTTTGAGCGACATTTTCAATCAAGTTATCAATTTTCAACATTTGCATGTTTATGTTTTGCTCCGACATCAAAACCAACCGTCGTCGCGATCTTTGTCCCTTTTGACTGAGTGAAAACAGTCTTCTTCTTGCACAGAATGGCGTCATCGACTCTCACCCGTGTGAGTGCTGCTGTTGCTGTGTGATCTCAGTCCCAACGACTTTACTTGCTTTCATCTCATCACCAATTCATGCATGCATTCTGATCCGATCTGATCCCGTTGCTGTGATGGCGGCGCTCTCTCTCCATAACTACTTTGCTCAGTCTCTCGTCCCCATCTCCCCCCCTCTTCCCCATCATCCATCATCGCTCTACTACAGCTCACCCCTTGCTCACCTCTTGCTCACCCCTTGCTCACCTGTTTGCTTTTGCCGACCGCGGCTTTGGACCACTCAGAAAATCCTCGTTGGCAATGAGATCGAGGCCATCCCGCCAAAGCTCGTCAATAACGCCACACACACCTACCGCTGGACGGTCTTTGTGCGATCCGAAAGCCCAACCACGTTCGACTTGAGCTCTGTCGTCTCGCGCGTCGAGTTCCAGCTCCTCGAAGGGCACTTTAAAAACCCACGGCGACGCAAGTGGCATTGAATCCTGAACGCAACTTGGATAGGCTATCATTTGCCTGACTTTGCAGTTCGTGATTTGGAATTGGATCATGCACAGAAATCTCATCACCACCATACCAGGTCGTCGAGACCGGCTGGGGTAGCTTTGACATCCCCATCACCGTGTACTTTAAGGACGCCAGCCAAGCTCCAGTCAAATTCGTTCATCCTCTGCACTTTCCGACCGTCGACAATACCTCCAACCTCCAGCAGAAGACGCACACATTGGTAAAGCACACACATACCCTCTGTTCAGCATCGGACAGTTGCGGTCTGGGGTTGCAACAAAAGCAACCTTTTTTGTTTGCTTCTCACATTGCATGTTCTTGTTTTCCGTTGTTTGTTTTCCACTGGTGCAGACATTTGTCAACCCTTCTGCGCAGCTACGAGCGGCACTACTTGCCAAGCCGACAGCAGCGGCAGTCGCAGCCGCAGCTGCGGGGGGTCCGAAAAAGTCTCGCCGGGCGGTCGATTCCGATTCGGAGGATAACAACGACTCTGACTCGGACGGCGAGGCCTCGTCGTACCTTTCGCGCCAGAGCAAGAAGGAAAAGGAAAAGAGCAAGCAGAGTGCATCCAAGTCATCACACAGTTCCAAGTCGTCTCCCGTAGCCGCAGCAGCACCAGCCGCTTCGACAAATGGAAAGTCAAGTTCCCACAATCCAAGCGCGACAACCAAACGCGCAGCACCACGCTCGGAAGATCTTGGGGGTGACAGCAAACGATCTCGGTTGGAAAAATCGCATCCAGAGTTGATTGAGCGGATTCAAACGCGTATTTCAAGTCTCTGTACCAACTCGAAAACCGAGCAACTAGCACAGGTTGCCCAGGTTATTTTGCGCGACCCCACACGCACGCCCTCCACCGTTAGTTTGACACACTTTGAGTTTGATCTCACTGGATTGGATGCTGCGGTATTGCACGAGTTGGACGCGATTGTTTCACAGTAAAACGTTCTTATTTTCATTCTTTTGTTGCTTGGTTGAGGTTTGCAAACAAAACAAGCAAACCACAATGGCGAGATTTTCTGAGGCGGGCCAAAAACACACACACACACAAAAAGTGCACCAGGTCACTCAAGATGCTGAGCAAACTTTCGCAATCGCGGAAAGAACATGGGAGACATTTCCAAATTGTTGTGGTTGCCTTCGTGCACCCAGAGTGGCTCAGCGGGCTTTCGGCACGCACGGTGGAGTGCCTGGCCGTGCTGCACTGGAATGACCTCGTCCGCAGTGCCATGCAGGATGAGCACGGGCTCATGAATGTTGGAAATGCGGTCGATCGACGGGAATGGGTCGATGCAGTACGTTCGGCTGATATTGGGCCGGATGAGCCGCAGTCCCGAAGTGAGCGGGGCGTGCAGAATGACGCCTGCAATGCCGCGAGTACGCGCAGCCAGCTCGACGGTTGGCACAGACCCGATGCTTTGCCCGTAGAGGATGATTTCGCCGACCGGGATGCCCAAACGGCTAGTCGTGTGATCAAGCACGGCCTGCACATCCGCGTACAGGTTGGCCTCGCTCGGCCGACCGGTGCTGTCCCCGTAGCCGGAATAGTCGTACGCAACAATGTTCGCTGGCAGCGCAAGTGACATGGCCTTCAGGAAGGGCAGAATTTCTCCCATGTCCGTCGCATTCCCATGCGAAAACAAGATTGTTCGAACTACTGGCGTTGATGCATTTGCACCTGCACCTGAACCTGCACCTGCACCTGCTGGTTGTGCTATCCGGAGCGACGGAATGAACGCGCAGGCGAGCGTGTTGCCACGACTGGTACGAACTCGAAAGTACTCGGTTCCACGGAGGCGCCGTTGCAGGGTCGCATTGTACTCGTGGAATAGAATGCTCAACGTCGATACACCCAGCGGCGAGTTGCGCACTCGCATGGTGCGCTCTGGGACGTAGCATTGGTGGAAGCCGCACTCGCATCCGTCGGGCATCAGGAGGTGCTGTGCGGCGGCGTCCTGCTCTTGAAGCGCTTCCAACTCGCGCTGCTCTTGTTGCTCCAGTGCAGTGGCGGCGGCGTCCTCCTCGTACTGCGCAATGGCTGCGAGCTGCGCGTCGGCGTCCAGCTGCTGCGAGGAAGAAGCGGAGAGCAGTGGCGCAGAGGCTCCTTCGGCTCGCTCGTCACCCAGCCCATGGCTCGACTTGCTCGCAGCGCTGGACATAGACATGGTCGTGGTTGTGGTCGTGGTCGTGGTCGTGGTCGTGGTTGTCGCGGGTGCCTGGGCTGAGGTTGGCTGTGTCTGGATTGAGCGACTGCCGCTGCCGCTGCCGCTTCCCCGCGCGTCGTCGCCCTGCTGTGATTGTGATTGCGAGGATGGGGACGGCTTTGCGGGCGGCGGTAGTAAGATGTAGGACGTTGGCGGTGGGAAGAAGGCCATCTTGTTGGTAATGCTGGACGGGATTGGCGGGCAGACGAGTCCGCACAGCTGGCACAGCAAGCGACCGAGTCCAGCCATCGTCGTACAGTACCAACAGTACCAATAATAACAAATAATAAAAGAAAACTAGGATGAAGATGAAGAATAAAGGATTGAACAGTTCAGTTACAGTTATGTTTTCGAGCTGTTTTGGCTCAAGTAGATCTACAAGTACTGCTGAGGCTTCCTCTGTTTGACTGATGTTGCTGAAACAAGCTTCAATCTAATTGTGATGTGAAGTGTGTGATTGTGACTGTGATGGGCTTTTGCTATGAGATCAGTCCTAGTCTGTTGTTGCTCACCCGAGTGAATCCCAAACCATGCCACTCAAAGCCAAGCGAACTACGACTGCTGATAGTACTACTACTACTAATACTGACAGTCATCATAGTAGTAGTAGTAATAGTAATAGTAGTAGTAGTAATGGTGGCCGCATCAGCCAGCTCGTCCAGCAGCAAGGCAGACCAAGAGCAGCAGGGCTCCTCGCTCCAGCAGCAGCACCCGCCATGCCAAGTACTAACACCATCACACTCACACATCATACACAACAACAACGACAACAACAACAACAACAACCATCTCGTCGCAATCACCTGCGACTGAACGCAGAAGAGCGCTGGCTTTTGGATCAAGAATCCCAGCTTCACTTCACTTCACTCGTATGACGACGATGAACAAGCGAGGTGGAGAGCTCCATCAAGTCCATCCTCAACCAAGCGCTGGGGATGTGTGTTGGGGTTGGCGGTTGGATGTGGCCGACGTTGGCTGCAAAAAACGCTTCATTCTGATAAAAACCTGTCATTCTGAGCATCTCACTTTGACCTGTCATTGCTGAGAGCTCGACGTTATTCATTGTGTATTGTTCATGGCTGATGATGTTGAATTTTTGTGCTTGTCACAGTCTTTGAAACAAACAAGATCGTTCTAGTCAAGTTGGATGGACATTTCTGGCCAGCTCAGGTACAATTCGCTGTTTTGTTGGATTGATTAAGCACTTGGATGTGTCAACAGCATTGTAGTCAAGCTCCCAAACGTGTGGGGGATGGGGGTCGTGGACACTGTAGTAGTCGCGCGGACAACACGTACGATATCAGAAAGTTGACCCTTCTCTGTTGTGTGTGTGTCGTGCTGCAGGTTCTTCCTCCAAATGCTCATTCGAACAAGTCAAGTAGTCCACCGATTGCGGTTTGCCGTATGATTGACAGCGCGCCCAAACCTCCTCAACCGTACGTCTGCCCTTCATGTTGCAAAAGTACTGGAAATGTGGCTTTGCTCCATATTTTCAGCAGATTCCACTCATTTGCCAACGACAATCCACTCATTTGCCAACGACAATCCACATGACCATTGTCTTGTTTCTCGTAGCGTGTTCATCACCAATGCAGCTGATATCAAGCCTTTTCACGAAGATTTGATCGGCACCCTTCGTGCCAGTTTCATACAAGCCATGCCGCACAACAAAACCGAGCACATCCGCTACTCTACCTCGCTTAGCCTTGCGAAAGACCGCTTGCAACAAGGTTTACTCGCGCAGACTTTTGATGGTCAGAATGATGATGCTGATTTTCAGCCAAGTCGAACACCCACTCGTCAACGCAACGGCTCTGGCTGGAAAGAGTCCCAAAGCAACAAACTCTGCCCCTGTGCGCTCAAAAGCACCTGGCACAAGCAACCAGCCCGAGCCTGCAAAAGCCTCGCAAACTCTCCTTGCAGCCAGAAGCTCGTCCGGCTCTTCGTTTCCCTCCACGCTCTTCGTTTCCCTCCACGTCCGAATCGTCTCTGGATCCAAAGCCACAGCGAAAAACTGCAAGCCTGGCGCAGTTTACACATATACATCCGCCGAGGAGCAGCGAGCCCTTCGCAGCCGGCCGCCCCTCGTCCTATCCAAGTCCATGTTTGATACCCCAGTGCAGGCTTCCAAGTCCAAGGCGAAGATCGAAGTGATTGATACCCCAACAACTCTCGAGCCAGACCAGTCCAAGCCAAAGGTCGCAGCAATCGACTTTGCGCAAAGTCCTCGCACTTCACAAGCAAGCGGACGTTCCACAGTACATCGGGATGTGATTGAGCCTAACAGCTTGGAAGAAGAAGACAAGCCTGCGGTTCGGCAGTTGCGACAGCGCACCATCGCTTCACCCAACGCAAAGTCTCCAGCATCCCCGAATCCTCGCGCAAAAAGCGCTTCCAGTCCAACTCTTGCCATTTCCAAACGAAGGGCGAGCGAAATGGATGCCGAGGGGCCAGGCCCTTCCCTGCGAGTGTCGGCCGCGGATGTGACCGACGTAGTGAGCAGTCAAGAGGAGCCAAGGTCGAGGCGCGCTCTAGCCAGCAGCCAGAGTCCTGGCGATGATTCACAAGGGAGTCGTCAACGTGGACTTTTCAACTCTGCCGCGGATGGTACTGAGATCAGAAAGTTGCGCCAGCGTGTCGCATCACCCGAGACCAAGTCGTCGCATGCCAGAGTAGCTTCCAACCGTGGTGCTGGTGGCGCTTCCAAGCGATATACCAGCGAGTCGGATGCAGACGCCGCCAATATCTCCGCCCGCGCGTCCGTGGCCAATGTCGCGAGCAGCAGCCAGGAGGACTCTAGTTTTAATAGCGCTAAGGTGAACAAACCTGGCCGACAAAGCCAAGCACAGGTGAGCCTCAGCCGCAACGGTGAACTTCCCGTGGTACCCGACGACAGTGCAGAAAGTCCAAGTGGCAAGCGATCAACTCGGGCAAATCCAGGGCCAGTTGCTGCACCCCAGCCTTCGTCAACAGCTGGCAAGAAGCAACATCAAACATCCAAACCAACGCAGCAACCAAAACTTGACACTTTCTTTTCGTCAGCGGCTGCAAAGCCACTGCCAACATCGGTCAAAGGGCGCACCGCTTCCAAAGAGCACACCGATGCTGCCAACAACCCAGACAAGTCACCAAAGACAAAGCTCGAAGTGTTTGATTTTGACGAGCAACCGTCTCGAGCAACCCATGCGCACCGCCCAACCAATACATCCATCCCTCGTCCGTCAGTAGTCCGTTCGATTGCAGCGGACTTTTTAGAGCCAGATTCGACGCCAGCTGCAGTGGCAGCAGCTTCTGCTTCCGTCTTGCGTTCTATCGCCCTTTCAGCACAAGAAACAGTGTCGACAACTGCTGCTGCTGCTGCTGCTGCTGCTGCTGCTGGACCGAGCGATAAGGCGCTGCCTCCCGCTCGGAAAGTTCTCAGACTTGATCCACATGTGGAGCCAAGCTCTTCTCCCCCGAGCTCGAGTGGAGATTCGGCTGCTTTTGAAACTCGCTTGCGATCTGGAGTAGTCCGACAGCAGTTTGACGATGAGGACGAAGACGGGGACCTTCCGTCATCGTCTGGTCCGGTAGACGACGATTCGGATGACGAACTCCCGGCTGTCCAACTATCGCACCAGTCTACGACCGACTTCCGGCCTGGCACGGTCGTTTGGGCAAAGCGCCGCCTGGACTTGATGCTCAACCGCTTCATTTGGTGGCCTGCCAAGTACATTTCACGTCTGAAGGCACAGAAATTGCACGAATGCAACTTGTTCACTGGAAACCTGTCATTGACGGACAAGCCTCTGGAGAAACGGTATGTAACAGAAGCTTTTGCGTGTCGATGGTCAAAGTACCAACCTGTTTGCTTGCGTGTCATCACATAGGGCCAAGTTTATCTCTGTGAAACCGTACAAATGTACCGATCCGGATGACCCAGACACGCCTGCTGCTTACCGTGAAGCGCTAGCCCGAGCCAGAAAAGCGGCGGAGAAGCTTGCCGTTGGGACGGCTAGTATCGATCAAAGCTCTCCGATGAAGCAGCGCTTCTTTGCCAAGGCGGCTTCGGACGACGAGGATGACCCTATGGACACCGACCAACAAGCCGAGGAATTGTCAGATGACGACGACAACAACGGCAACACTGTCCAGCCATCGGCCGCTGACGCACGCGATAGTAGCGATGAAGAGCAAGACGCCATACTGGCAATTAGGCAAGCTGTTGAAGCACCTTGAAACGGCCTCTGTGCGTCGTGTTGTGCTTGCACTCATTGTTACGAATTTCGTCCTCTCGCGCAGCGCCAGGTACACAGGAAACATCAAGACCTTTGCCAAGGAAATACTGCCTCATATTTGCAAAGTTGCAGACGGTGGTTTTTCGTATTGGCGAGACGAGTACGCCAAGGGTGACGACTCTCGCCCGCCTGCTTCTGGACCAGTGCCCGACAGTGTCGTACTGAAGTTGCTCTCCCATTTCGAGGGCGACCGAAAGCTGATGTCGCGGCCGCCGTGCCGAGACCATAGATTTTTGACACATGTGATCGTGCCGGAGGCAGTGCTGCAGCTGATCTCGCAACGCGATGGTATCAGCGAAGAAGCGGCCTTCCAAAAAATGAAGAGGCCTCTCTCTCAGGAGGAGGCTCATGCTCTGTTCCAGGTCACGGAGCGCCAAATATTGAGAGGCCCAACGGCAATGGCAGTCGAGTAGTTGTTGCTCTTCGGAAGAAAACCGCGGGTTCCATCGCAAGATCTTTCAGTTGTTGAAGCAGTGTGATATTGTATGAATTTTGTTTGCATTTCGAAAGGCAACCACACCAAATACAAAGAGAAACGTCCAAAAAGGACCATAAACAGACAGGACTACGCAACCAAACCTTGCTTGCGCTTTTCCACCTCGGACATGACGACACCAAGCGCCTTCAAACAAAGCATCAAATTCTCATCAACATTAATCCCGCGTTGCTCCGCCCCAGCTCGTGCAGGATGGAACTCGACAGTAGAGCAGATTGTTTCCAGGAACAACTTGATGTTATTCAGGTTGCCGCCTGGAGTTCGCGAAATTGGAACTTTGAGCAGTTGAGCGCTGAGGCGACCAGCGTCCATGATGCGCTGCGACAGTACAAACTGGGCAATGGTGGCAGCTTGGTTGAGTTGAGTGATAAAGGTAGAGACGGGGTCGCTTTCAACAGGAGGAGTGGCCAACGTCGTGGTGGGTGAGCTCGCCAAAGGAGAGGCAGCAGCGGCCGCCGTGGCCTCGGCGTGCTTGCTCGCCTCAATCTCAGAGACTTGGGGAGAATGATCTGGCAACGCGGATGCCGTGCCGGCGTCCACGGATGTGAGGCTAGCTTGGATTGGAGCCGGCGCTGGCTCGTTGGGGTGCTTGGCGACCGTCATTTCGCTGGCAATTCGAGCAAATGACCAGCCTTGCAGAATCTCACAATAGCGCTCATGCACGTGGTCATCGGAGTGGAGCCCTGTTACGGAGGCGGGGGCTGTTGGCGAGCCGGGCGCAGCATCCAACAGCCGAGATGGGGACACGATGTGTTGTTGCTCCATCGCATGACGCACAACACTCCATTGTGCAAACACAGAATCGATGGACGAATCGTCGCAGAGATTGAGAGCATGAGCCAAGAGCTTCTCTTTGATGAGATGGTTGTGGTATTGCGTCGCAGAGCCAATTTGCAGGTACAGCTGCCAGACGGCAGGTAACTGCGATCCGGTCAACCCAAGGCTCAAGTTGGCAGCCAGGTCGTAGTCGCCCACGTCCATCGCTTGCTTGGCAACCAGAAGCAGCACTTCCAGCTTGGCAGCTTCATTCCAACGGGGCACAACGCGGAGAAGCTGCGCGAGCCGAACTAGACGGTCGGGCTGACGGTAGGCGCGTGGCGCAGAATGCAGCACGCTCTTGACAAACTCCATTCTCGCTTCGGACAAGCGAACTTGGAGGGGAAGTGCAGCCACTTGAAACTCGGCCAAAATGTCAATCGCATCCAGCAAGTCGTGTTCCGCTTGCACGGCTTCAGAAGGCGAGGTTATGATCTGCAAGCAAGCGCGAGCTGTAGCCAGGCCAGGGTCGCTTGGCGAAGCACATGCGTTGAAGTATTCCTTGGCAGCAGAAATTACAAGAGCCTCGCTCTGGTCGAAACCCAAGCGAGACGAGGGCAACGGTAACGGCGCCTCGTGCTCATTCCGAGTCAGAACGTCTTTCAACAAATCAAACAGCTCAACTCGGCCTGATGCGAGCACGCCCTCCGCAAACAAAACATGGCAACGTTCGACTGGAATAAACGGAAACACGGTCTGCTGCAGCTGCAGCAGGTGCTCCAACAAACGCTTCCAATCGTTCTTGACCAAGGGCGGACGAGCCCGACCGGCGCGGCGGGTGAGTTGGAGCAACAGTTGCATGACCTCTTGTTCGTCCTGCGCGGCTGCCGACGAGAAGAACGCCGGCATGCGCATCACGTCGTACTGCATCAGCAGTTGCGATGCAGCCACATACTTTTGAACACTGTAGAGCTTGTGGGTTGCCAGAATGACAATGCTCTCTGCCTTGGCAGCAATGGCAGCGACAACCGGGTCGTGGAATGTTTGGCCCGCAACGAGCGACAACAGATGAGATGTCGCATGGTGCACGGCTGTCAAAATGCGCTGCAAACATGCAAGTGTGCGCTGTTGCACGCGGGTCTGTTGCAGCTGGACTTGGTTGGTGGCGCCGGTAGTGCTGGAGCTGCTGGAGCTGCTGGAGCTGCTGGAGCTGCTGGTGGACTGCGTGAAAGGGAGCAGGCACAAGTCCAAACCAGCAAACAGTAGTTCGAGGTCAATCCGGTCAATGCCCAGATTGAGATCTGCCAGGTGCTGCGGCGTGTCGGCGGGGGCGGCAGCACCAACAGCAGCAGCAGCAACCGATTCGGGTGCTTCCATCTCCCACTCGTCGAGCGTCAACAATGGCTTTGAATCACGATAGCCCACCGGCGACGACGAAACGCTGCGCAACTGCGCGGCAAACTCTTCAAATACCAGCGCGGCCGTCTCAACCAACAAAGGATTGCCAAATTTGGCCAAGACAAAAGCAGGAAGCGGGGGCGCGGGAGCGTTGGGCTCAGCGAGGAAGGCAGCGGGGCGACCGGACGAGGACCGCTGCGTGCGAGCATACGGCACCACCCACTTCCAAAACGCCTCGACAAAGATGCGCTGAGAACTAATCACAGCAAGTTGGGCCTGCTGGATTGGGGCATTTTGCTGCTCATGCAGACGCTGGACCAATGCCGACTCGGCGGCCTGCAATCGGGCGAATGGGGTGGCGACTAAGGCGGCCATGCGTTCCTCTTGCCCCAGCACCTCTAAATCGCCGAGCTGGAAGCCCGGGTCGCAGAACGTCTCAAACACCATGACCTGCAGGAGCTTTGCATCGAACAAGAGCTTGTAGACTCCGGGGATGCGATTTCGAGCGGCGATTCTGAGCAGAGCAAGCGCATTCTCGGCCAGGCCAGTTTGAGCGTCAAACTCGCGCGCGCGCCTCACAAACCACTCTGTCACTGCTTCGACCGACGGTGGGCTGCCAGAGAAGCGAGCCATGCCCTTGAACATGGAAGCGTTGTAAAATCCCGCCACCTCGTCTTGGTGACCAGGAGGCGCGGGGTTGGGCAAGCTGGCTGCGAGTTCTTCGTCGACTTGTTCGTCAATGGGAGCCAGAGAAGTAGCAGCAGCAGCAGCAGCAGCAGCAGCAGCAGCTTTCGTCCCGGCGCGCGCTGGAAACGTTGGTGGCACGACCACGAGCGTACGACCATCCGCACCACTTTCGACACACCGAGGGAAGAGCCACTTGTACTGATTTGGATTAATCAACTCGACCACGTTGGACAGAATCGGAAGCAAATGAGGCAGAGTTTCGTCGGGGTGATTGGTAAATATGGCGCGCAACACGTCAAAATGCCTGTCCTCGGCAAAGCGCACCGCGGCCGCCACCAAATTAACGTCCCGAAATTCTCGAAATTCGTCCGCGCTGAAGGAGCGTTCGACGGCAGTGTACACGGTGGCATACGTGTCCAGGCGCCAGTAATATCGACACAGCTGTTTGTAGCGTGGTGATTGCTCCTCGCCGTGGGCTGACAGGAGGCGAATGCCGTGCAAGACCAGCTTGCGCACAATTTCAGGTGTTGGAGGGATGGTGGTGATACATTCCTGCACCACCCAGTCGCGATCTGTAATTTTCGAAAGCACCATGTCAATGCTTTCATGGGATGGAGAGACGGCCTCCCACTGACGTTGATAAACAGGGTTTCGACTAAAGCCAAATCGATCGGCCAGTGAAAAGGCAGTGTTGAGGTCGCGAGCGTCCAGACAGTGCTGGAACAGCTCTCGCGGTGTGATGAATTTGACCGCTTTCAGGGTGATGGTTGTTTGTGTGGCTCGCTTGAACGCTGGATTTGCTGCCGCAGAACCTGCAAGCACCACTTTTGCACGGGAAGATCCTCCGTGATCGTTCAGGTACTGCGCAAGAGGCTGCTCCAACCACACGCACGGGCCTCCTTCAGCAGTCGACAGGAGTGTTTCGTCCATCATGCGCGCCGAGTAGGCTGAAAGATTGGACAGCGAGGTTTGCTCCCGGGCCAGCAGATAGAACTGGCTTCGGCTGTCAGCGCGAGTGATAAAGGGCGCAAGACAGTCAGCCGAGAGGATGGCCGTTGCATCCTCCTGAAGATCTTGGGTGCTTGGGGAGACAAGGTTTGGGCGAGCAAGCGCCAGGGTTCCCAAAACCCGCGTTGGTTGGCCAGCTGGGTTTCCCACCAGCAGCTGGGAGACATCGCGTGCGATGACGTGGCCCGACCACAGCGAACACATGAGCGTTGTCTCTGACAACCATGCGATATTTCGACATGCACGGACGATGGGGTTTTGTTCGCCTTGCTCGCCCGCCAGCGGCTTCAACGACCAGTTGGCGTCCAGATTTCCACTTTGCAAGTTGAGCAGCGTGGAGAAGGCATCTCGATGCTCCTCAACATGCACTCCGCTGCCACGCTGCATGCCAGGAGCGTGGGGCGACGAAACCATGACCTTGGCGGGGCAGACTTGCTGAAGCTGGCCAGTCACAGCTCCGACGTCGTGAAGCACGGCAAACGGCGAAGTCTGTGGAAGCACAAATAAGCTCACTGCGCCCGATGTATCGAGCAAGGCAGCGTGCCGACCAGATCGCGCAATCGAGCACCGCACAGGCAGAGGTACATTGACGACTTTGGGCTTTCGCCAGAAGAAAAAAATGGACCACAAGAGGGAAAGAAACGCGAGAAGCCACCGAAGAGGGAACCACAACGGCTTGCGTCGCCTCCTCCGCTTGGCATGCAAGTGTGCATGCTGATGAACATCCACTGTATCCGATGTCGCGGCAGAGTCCTGAGCCAAAGAGCGGAGGGACCAAGAAAAAAAAATCAAAAACCAAAAACAAACAAAAGAACAAAAGAACAAAAGAACAAAGCGTATGTTAGTGCAGGTAGTAGGGTTTGCAGAAAAAAGATTTCAAGGAATGCAGGTGGCAAAGGCAGCATTCAAAGGTACAAAGTCCCGAAGGCAAGGGAAAAGCTGGAGGAAAAGGTAAAGTAAAGAGCATGGGGCCCCGTGACTTACAGAGGCACCAAACACTGGAGCAAAGAATGGATACTCGTTGATGAGGCGGAAGTACAGCAAATGGCACGGGATGGTCGGTGTTCCGGACTTGGATGGAGCGATGGCGGCGTGGGCGAGAATGAGCAGTTGTCTGGAAGCACTGTAAGTAAGGGCAGTCACGACGCCGTCTTCAAACTCGGTGTCAAACACATTAGCGAGCTCGTGCTTTTTGCCCCGCGAAGGTGACCTGTGGCAGCAGCAGCATGGAGGAGGGGGTGGTGGTTAGCCAAACGAAAAAAAGATCAAAAACCATCTTTGTGAGTTTCTTGCGGCAAGAGGACAAACAGCAACAACCAAAACGAGATACACACCCGACGTGAAAACTGAACAGCCGACCATCGTAATCAAGCAGCAAGAGCTCAGCCACCCACTGCCGGTCGGCAAAGGACCGACGAGGGAGCAGCGCCATCGCCGCGAAGGGCTGGAGCAACCGTGTTTGGGCGACTTGTGGTGAACTGGCGTTGCCACCAGAGGCATCTGCACGATTGTCAGCGTTTGTTGGTGCCACTACCGACGCCGAGCGAGCGGGATGGATGAGACGGCGCCACCCGCCCAATCCGCCTTTGGAGACGGTCGCGGCTGAGCGAGCGATTGCGCTCGGCAGCGGAATGCCAACCGTCGCAGCGCGAGCATCAATCTCGTACATGTGCTTTCCGTCCCGATTGATCAACTGGACGATGCCATCACTGACCAAAGCCAAGCAAGCGAAAGGGGTGCAGCGAAAGTGAGGATGAGCTCGACTCGAGCAGAGCCCGCCGAAATCCCCGACCTCGCACCTACCTCGAGCAAATGGCAATGAACGCATCGTCTTGGCTCCAGCTCAGCAGGCGGTGGTGCGGCGCGAGGTCTTGGTCAACTGTTCCGACGCGTCAATGCCACAGAAGCAAAAAAGCCAAATACAGCGCAGCCCCCAATGTCAGCAGTCAGTCAGCATCCGCACCCGAGCAATACTGAATAGAGATACGTTAGTGCATCGCAAATCGCTTTACCGTGGACTTGCAGCTCGGGATGCGGCGGCCCGTGTCTGATGACGAGCACTTCATCGCAGAGCAGCGCGAGCGAGAGACCATCGCTGAGCCACACACACACACACACACACACACACACACACATTCAAACAAAATCATACACACAGCATCAGAATCACAAGTGCCAGTGTTGCGCAGGTGTTGCATGCGCTCGGGGTCTGAGAATAAAACGAGCGCTTTCTTCCAATGCTCACCTTGAGAGCGCCATTCGCCAGGACATCTGGTCTTCCTTGAACTGAGCAAGCAGTGGCGGCACACCGAGAAACTCGACATGCGTCAATCCCTCCTGCAGCACTGGCTGCGACGAGGCAGCCAAAGCCATTCGGTTGGTTGGTTTTGTTGTTTTTGGCTAGGAAAGAGGACTGAGACTTGCATCCGGCTTTTTGATTGTTGTTGCTTTCTCTGATCTACCCAGTGCACTTGACGAACGAATGGGTTGCGATACAAAGTCACGACTCAGTGCAACTTGTTACATTTTGCACCAATCGTCTCGTTTTCTCAGTCCTTTTTTTTTTTTATTCAGTAAAGATCGTCCTTTTGCAGCACACCACCGATTGCGATTCAGCAAACCGTTTGATCAAAGAGAGAGAGAGAGAGAGAGAGAGAGAGAGAGAGAGGGAGTGAGGCAGAAGAACGCGGCTCCCGCTCAGAGATGCTCAGAACAGACTCAAAAAAAAAAAAACCTCAAAAAAAAAACCAGCATTTTTTTTTTTCCCTTTTTCAAAAGCAAAAGTAAAGCAAAGCCGAGGAGAGACGTCATGCCGGAGCATCTTGTCCCCCCCGCGCGCGCGCGCGTGTCGAACTACAGCCGTGACACTCTTCCAGTGTCTTCCATGCCTGGTCGCGCTGCTGTCCATGGAGTCACTGGCGGCCACAAACCAAAGTCAACGTGTTTTTTTTTTTTTTTTTTTTTTTTTTTTTTTTTTTTGCTTTTAGCACGAGAGCATTGCACTTGCCTCGGAGGCAGGAAGCGGAGCAGGCACTCAGCTGGCGTCTGCTGGGCAACCCTGGGTGTACCACTCGTTGATCCCTGACAGCATTGGCCCTCGAACCCCAACGGGCGGCGCTCTGAGTGGGGAAGGCAGATCCCCAGATCACGCTGGCAGATCCCGCTTTTGCTCAGATGCTACGGATTTAGTCTCAACCCCCTGAAGAATCGGATCATGGCGGGAGGTTGATCTCAGGAGCTTCACATTGAAGCAGGTGTTGATCTTCAGCAACGTTTGATTGCTCTCTGTTCCCCCCCCCCTCTTCTCGCTATTCGCTGTGGGATGCACAAAAAGCAAAAAAGCAAAAAAAAAAAAAAAAAAAAGACAAACAGTGACGGCTGTTGTTGTGGCTTCTTTTTTTTTTTTTTTTTTTTTGCTTTTTGCTGTGCGCTTCTCTTTTGTCTCTGATGCTTTCCAACGTCCATCTCGCTTTCTGGACGCTCGCTTGCAATCACTGTTGCTGTCGCCTTGTCGCCTTTTCCACGGCGGGAGGCTGTGGCCTCGCTTTCTGCATTCGCATCGGAAGGTCTGGCACAACTCGCGGCTGCCTTTTTTTTTTTTTTTTTTTTTTTTTTTTTTTTTGATCTCCTTTCTCTGTGTGCATTGATTTGGATTGCTGCTCCGTTCGCCATCGATGGCGACTCCTACTCTTTCCCCTCCCCCAACACACACACTGCACCTCCCGTGTCTCTTTGCTGTCCTCTTCCGTTTCTTGCTCCCGTGTTCACTCGCAATCATTCACGCGTCGGTTGAAAACTTATTTTTAGTTTTTTTTTTTGATTTTGTGTGATTTTTTAGAGTTTTTTTTTTTTTTTCTTTGATTGTTGGTTTGTTTCTCTTCACCAAGCTTTGGAACAGAGATCAACAGCAAAACCAAAGCAAACAACAAAAGGACCGACAATCCAAAGCAAACAAGACAACAAAACACACCTGCAAACAAGCACAACAAAGCAGCAAGCAATGACACACCAGGACAATGGCGCAGCCACAGTGGACAGCACACCAACGCTCGTCGCCGTCGAAACGCGCAACGGCGTCCCCACCAGCATTACCGACACTGGCGAGACCATCCAGGACGCCGTCCAGAAGAAGATGAACATGTCGCCGTCGCAGGCAGAGCTGCTGCGTCTCCGGTCCAGCTCATCGAACAAGAGCGACGCTGCAGAGTTTGCCTTTGAGAACTTTGCCAAAAAATTCTTTGTAGCGCAGAAGGCTGGCATCTTTCGTCGGAAAGTCTCGCTCGCGGCCATGTCCCGCTGGACGTCGGCCCCGATCGCCTCGACACTCACCGTCATCCAACTCAATCCCAAGCACAAGAACGTGGTCAAGGACGCCATCAACATTTTCCGCCTCATCCAGATGGTCATGGGCGACCGCGAGCTCCGCAAGTTCCCCACCGTCCCGCACGTAATCCAGCACATCCTCGAGAAGGGCTTGTTTTTGCCCGAAATCCGTGACGAGATCTTTTCCCAGCTGTGCAAGCAGATTGCCGGCAACCCACACCTCGAAAGCCACGTCAACGGCTGGGTACTGCTCTCCGTGATGGTCTGGATGTTCCCTCCCTCGCGGAATATGGAAAACTATCTCAAGCACTTTGTGCTGATGCACTACGACGATTCCGAGCCTCGCGTCAACACGCTCGCGCGCTACTCGTTCAAGAAGCTGATGCGTGTGTGCGAAACCGGTGCGCGCGCTCGCGTTCCCACGCTGCCCGAAATCGAGCGTGCTCGTGACGCGCCCTTCAACCCCTCCGTGTTTGGCTCCACCCTGGACGACATCATGTCGATGCAGACGGGCAAAATGCCCGACGTCAAGCTGCCCCTCGTGCTCACTTCCCTCACCGAAAGCGTCCTCCGCCTCAGCGGTGCCAAGACGGAGGGCATCTTCCGCGTGCCCGGCGACACGGACGCTGTCTTTGCGCTCAAGCTCAAGATTGAGCGAGCGGATTACGCCATCGCCTCGGACGACCCGCACGTCCCTGCCTCGCTCCTCAAGCTCTGGCTCCGCGAACTGGACGAGCCCATCATTCCGACCGAATTCTACCCCGACTGCATTAAGAACGCCAAGGAAGCCACACAGGCGATCGCCATCATCGACGGTCTGCCGCAAATCAACCGTGACGTTGTGCGCTACCTCATTTCCTTCCTCAAGCAGATCGGCGAGCCGGGCAACCAAGCCGTCACCAAGATGAGCCTGGACAATCTCGCCATGGTTTTCGCGCCATCCTTCTTGCGGTGTCCCTCCGAGAACCCTCAGACCATTTTCGAAAACACTCGCCACGAGCAAGATTTCACACGAACTCTCCTTGAACACCTCAACTAAGGAGGGACGTGTTGGTCTTGCGGTGAGATATCTTTTGTTGTTCACATCCGTCCATCTGTTCGGATGGAGATGGACGCTTCGTTGTTTGGTCGCCCCCTTTCGGGCTCTTCATTAACCACTTTTTCCGGGCCACGAGTTTTCGCCTGGCCTTTTATTTCTTTTTCTCTACTTTTGTTTTTTTTTGCTTGATGTTTTTTTTTTTTTCGATGGTGTGTCGCAATGGCTTTGTGCACGCACACACCACTGTTTGGAAAACTGAAACGTAGCGCAGAGTGCGCCAGTGGCAGGGCCATTTGGTGACAACGCATTTCCGCTCTTCTTTTCCATTTTGTACCCACCGAAATTGCAATTTTCTTCGCATCGAGGGCTGTTTGAGCTCAGTGTGTTTGTTTTAGAGTATTGTGTGTATGCTTGTATGGTAATCTTTGTACGGTTAATTCGACGCATGTCGCTAGTTCTGCTGTGTCCATCGTAGTTTGCGAGCCAAGTGATTCAATTCAGTTTCGCGTTGTGGCTTTTTGCTCATGTTTTGTGATGCGACTTTTTGCTCATGCTTTGTGATGTGGCTTTTTGCTCATGCTTTGTGATGATTCGACAGAAATCAGTCGGACTGCAAAAACGGATTGAAGAGCTCAAAGAAGTCGATGAAGTCGGATTGGAGTTGCAACAACACGTTCAAACAACTCAACACCATCAAAAGCGCATTATCTGACAAGGCTGGAAAAAAACAAAAAAGAGTCGGGGGCCATCACACACTTCTTCCTGTTGGCTTTGGTTTGGTTTGGGGGTTTTTATCGCGCGCCACCCAACAACTTGTCAATGTCAATGTCGCTAACGGAATCGGGGTTTTGCTCAATCATCTTGGCGAACATGAGGAAGGTGTTTTCGGCGTCCTTGGCGGCGTTGCGGACACGCTTGAGCGTGTTCATGAACGGGTCCTTGGTGCCTGCCGGCGGCTCCTCATCCAATGCCTTGCGCGCCTGCGACAGGCCTGCGGGCAGATCTTCGGCATCGTCCTGGCTCTCAGACACGGCAAACAAGTTGGCGCCGACCTTGATGCGGACCGTGCCCTTGCCGTCGTTCTTGGACAAGACAGTCTTTTGCAGTTGCGCCTCAGCCTTCTCCTCCTGGTTGATGACAGTCTCGTCATACGCAATTGGCGCAGTGTCGGCTGCCGGGGCGGCCGAGGACGATGCGGCAGGGGCGGCAGCGGGAGCAGGAGCGGCGGTGGCCGGGTTGGGGGACGTGCCAGACTTGGTGGGAGTGGGTGCGTTGCCCGAGCGCTGGGCAATGGCAATGCGTTGCTGCTCCATCACGCGGTTGAAGCGCATGTGGTAGCCAATGCACATGTCCAGCAACTCGGTCGCGTCGGACTTGCTCTTCATGCGCACAGTGATGAGGGGCATGACAGTGTCCTTGAGTTGAATGGCAAACTTGCTGCCCTGCACATACGTAGAATCCAACTCCGACCTGCAGATTTTTTGTTTGTTTGGAGAGAGAAGACAGCGTCGAACGGTTAGAAAAAAACAAGAAAACGGTGAAACCCAAAATTCTCTCTCATGTAACTCTGCCCCCCTTACCAAGAGAAGGACACATCTGCAGGCTGCTCGGTGGACGATTCGTAAAAGTGAATGCCCTTGAGAGAGATGCCAATCATGCGATTGACGTTGCTAGTGTCCTGCATGACAAGAAAAAAAAAACAAAACCCAAGCGCATCCGCAACGCACAAAAGGGGAAATGAGTCGTCAGAAGCAGTCCTTCAAACACACACACACACACACGACAGGATGTTCCAGGGCAAAACCGCAACACTTTCAGGGCGCAAAAAGCAAAAAAAAAAAAAAAAAAACCCTTCAAGACAAAAAAGCAAAACACAGGGCACACGCACCAAAATCTCGTGGAAGCTGACACCGTATTGAGGTAGTTGTTGGGCAACCGTCACATAGCCAGCCTCGGCTTTGGCGACAGACCAGCCGGCGAGGCGCTGGTGGAGTTCAAAGATCTTTCGGTGCCATTCGGCGGACGTGACCTCGGGGGACTTTTTCATGATAATGTCTGGGAGGACGCGAGGGAGAAGGTTTGCGCGGTTCTTCTCCTTGTTCTCGTCGAGGAAGCCGGCGACGTGCACTGCGGGGTTGAAGTCGCCAAAGACGGCCTGCATGGTGAATGCGGCGAGCTGGAGCGCCTGGACGGTGGGGCAGGCAATGTTGCCGTTGAGGACGTTTTCCTGGATGTCGAGGTAGAGCAGGTTGCGGGTTACTGCAGAGTTCTTTTGCAGGATGATGGTTGAGGTTGGCGGGAAGTACTTGACGCGCAGCTTGACGTGGCGCTTGAGATCGAGGTCTTGCTCCTCGAGCGTCTTGCCTGCCTGCAGCCAGTGCTTCTTGCCCTTGCGAGTGAGCACTTCGATTGAGAACCAGACAGGTTCTTCGATCTGTGAGGGCGCACATAGTAACAAAAAGCAAAAAACGGTGAGCAACGCACAGGTCCGTTTGTTTCACCGCCCCACCCACACACCAAGACCAAACAAAAAAGCAACACCAAGATGAGCTCCAGCATGAGAATGAGAATGAGCACCACCCAGGCAGTTCCAAGCAGTTTACAAGTCCGTTGGTCGCTGCTCTGGAGGAAGCAAGTTCAATGGACGTGACGTTGAATCCACCGACTCGTCGAACACCACCAAACAAAAAGCAACCAAGATGACACCCACACACCCCCCTCACTCACACACGGCGATGTGGGAGCAGCAGCAGCAGCAGCAATCGCTCTCAACATAAAGCAAGATTTCAATAAAAAAATAAATAAATACAAATAATAATCGAAAGCTTGTTTCAATGGTTTTTCGTCGTTCTCGAGGTTGACGTTGAAGAGGATGCGATGCGAGTGGGGGCAAGTGGATGTAGTATGTGAGTGTGTGAGTGAGTGAGTGTGGAGAGTGCATCGCGCAGCAACAGGAAAAAAAAAGGATAAAAAAAAAAAAGCCGACAAGAAAAAAAAAAAAGCAGAAAAAAATAAAAAGCTCAATACAAATCCAGCAAAAAAAAAAAAAAAAAAAAAAAAAAAAAACAATAATCAAAAAACAAAGCCATAACACCAAACAGGGCGAAGATCAGAAGCAACACACTCTGGACTACTGATGACGAGACAGAGCACAATGAGAGACAAAGAGACAGAGAGAGCACAAGGAGAGACGAGACAGAGGCCGATGATCGGGGGGGGGGGAAAGAGAGCCGACCGAGCGAGAAAGAATTGAGTTACACGAAGAGCAGCCATGACGAGCTTGAAGAGCGATTGACCAGTCGCGTTGGAGGCGCACGGCACAGAGATGCGCTTCCAGTCATTGGGAAGCGAGACGAGCACAGTGTCGGATGATGCCATTGTCGTTTTGCAGGACGCGAAACAAGAGAGAAAGCGGCGGAGGAAAGGAAGACAACAAAAGGAGACTGAAGCTGAACTGAGCTGAACTGAGCTCCGTTGAGGTACATGTAACTGCCACAAGGGAGTAGCTACAGATGCACGAACAGCACATTGGACGAACTGACTTGATGGATTGGATTGGATTGGATTGGATTGGATTTGGGCGTCAGTCCTTTTGTTGTGCTTTTTTGACGATTTTGACTATGAGCGATTCGGGTTCAGCGACAATCGACACGCAGGAGACGTTCATCCGACAGCGCCACGCAAAGTACTTTGCAATGTGCCTGAAGGTCCTCCCGCGCTCCATGGCGACGCTGGACACGCAGCGGTGAGCCCTGAGCCCTGTGCTGGCTGACTGGGCCAAACGTTTGGCAACGCACTTCACTCACTCACTCACTCACAACCCATGACTGACGGACGTCTCTGATTGGCTTGAATCGTGGGCTTAGAATGACGCTCGTGTACTTTGCAGTGTCCGGATTGGACTTGCTCAACTCGCTTGCGCTGATCGAGTCGCGCAGAGCCGCCATCATTGACTGGGTCTACGCAATGCAAGTGCTGCCAGACAAGGACAACCCCGGTAAACAAAGCCCCACAACACTTGCTGACATTCAAGCTCTCAGATGACATACCATTCGGCCTTGTTGTTTTGGCCGACTGAAGAAGACTCTCTTCCGTGGAAATTTGGGACTTTTTCAAGCTTTGTCGCTAACGCTCTCACCATTGCGCATGAATACGAATCATTCGTGAAACTCGAAACCATTCACAAACAGGGTTGAATGCTCAGGCGTGCGGATTTCGCCCTGGATCAAGCGTCGGAGCGCCGTACAACCCAAAGTGCGAAGCACAAGCCTGCCTCAAACACGACAGCGGTCACCTTGCCATGAGCTTTACGGCGCTGTCCGTGTTGGCGGTGCTTGGTGACGACTTTTCGCGTGTCAATCGTCAAGCCATCGTGCAGAGCATGCGGGCGTTGCAATCGGACAGCGGCGAGTAAGCGTTCCGAAACTTTGGAAATTTTGGAGAGCCAGAGAGCACTTTTTGTTGACTCAAATCCCCACTCTCTTGCGCAGATTCTTCGCTACGGCAGACAAGAACGAAAGCGACGTTCGCTTTCTGTACTGCGCCTGTGTTGTATCACACCTCATCAAGGATTGGAGTGGCGTGAACAAGGCCACTGCCGTTGCGTACATCAAGTCGCGGCAGACTTACGACGGGTCGTTTGCAGCCGCGCCAGGCTTGGAGGGCCACGCTGGCTACACATTCCTTTGCGTTGCTTCCCTCTATTTAATGGACCAATTGGACGAGGTTTACACCAAGGTCGAGCAAGTGAGTGTGCCCTCCCCCCCTCCTTCGCTTTGTTCGAGTCACGACGCAAGTCTCTGCCAGTGTTTGTTTGTTTTTAAAAGTCACTCTCACTTGTGTTTTGTTTGGGGGTGGGGGTATCGGGTCAGGACCGCATCATTCGGTGGTGTATCATGCGTCAACAAACTGGGTTTACCGGTCGCCCCGGAAAGCTCGTCGATTCGTGCTACTCGTTTTGGGTTGGTGGTACTCTGAAGGTAGCGCAGCACATTGTTTGGTGCTATCAGAAAGTGGAAACGGGGCTGCCTCTTTGCTCTTCTCCTACCAATGCCCTTGCCTTGCTGTTTATTGATTAGATTCTGGGAGCCTACGATCTCGTCGATAGAACGTGCCTTCGCGGCTTTTTGCTTTCAACTCAATCGACTACCACCGGAGGGTTGGCCAAGTCGCCCGACACGCTTGCCGGTGTGTACCATGTGTTAAGCATGCATGCTGTGGATGCGTTGTTTGGTTGAAGCTTCACGTGGTCGAGTGTTCAGTCCAGAGTTGCTCAAACATGCCGTGTATTTTGCACAGATCCACTTCATTCTTATCTTGCGCTGTGTGGGTTTTCTCTCAGTGGCGAGCCTGATGTTCTGCCTTTGGACGCAGCCATTAACATGTCTGAACGCGCATCGCAGCATGCTGCCAGTCTCAAATTTTGAGAGTACTAGTAGAATGACAAGTTTGTGTGTTTGTTCACATAGTTGATTAAAGTACAATACGTAAGCCATTCAAAAGCCAAGAAAAAGAAGAGAAGAGAAGAGAGCAGAAGAGAAACAAGAAAGAAACAAGAAAGAATCAAGAAAAAAGACAAAGAAAAGAAGAAGAAAAACATCTACAACTCGTCATAAACCAATTCGAACGCAGCAAGCCTTCGTCTCTGCCGAGAACGCTTCAGTGCCGCTTCTTGCAGCTTTTCATTGAGAGCGAGTCGTCGAAGCTCGCGCATCCGCTCGCTCGAACGTAATTCCAATGCGCGAGTGGACATGAATGTCGCGATAGCTGAAAGCGACGACATCATCGGCATGATCACGGCACGAAGGTCTTGGAGCTCCGCATGAGTTAGTGGGTGGATGCGGGAGTCTTGGTGAAGACCGAGGTCATCGTCATCATCGTCGTCCTCATTTTTCTCTGCTTCGGCGGAACTCTCATCGTCTGAAACGTCTTCCAATTGCCGGACTGCCCTCAGCAGTTGGGAACTTGGCCTTTGAGCGTCCTCCTCGGCGATGCGAGCTACGTCAGCTTCTCGGTCGGAAGGCGAAGCCCACCTCCTAAAATGCATCCGCGGACGGACGAGAAGTGAGAATGCACGTTCTCTCTCAAGCGTTGCCCTCATTCGACGAGCAGCAGCATTGGCACTCGTGTCGTTAAAGTCTGGGTCCATCGTTGCGGGACGCTCCTCATCCGAGTCCGGCTCCTCAGGCAGGTCGAACTCGGGTTCATGCTCGAGGATGATGCGAGCGCAGGGCCAATAGGGAAGTGACACGCGAGGAATGTCGACCATTGCGCCAGTGTGGAATGCGAGCTGGTGAGCTTCTCGAGTTGTGTACACCTGATTGGAGTACGTCAAGTTTTTCATCACGGCAATGATTTTGGAAATTGAAAAGAGTGCAGGCACGTCGGGCGCCAACGGCGACTCACGAGCGGGCAAATGGGCAAAATGATGGGCGCGCTTGTCGCGGAGCTCTTGCCGTTTCCGCTCACGCTCCTTCTCGGCCGCCCGTCGCCTCATCCGACGGTTTGCAGCAGCCCTCGTTCGCTGCCGCGCCGACATACGCGGGTCGTCATCTTCGTCGTCGCCATCCTCGTTTGCGTCGTCGTCGTCGTCGTCGTCATCATCGTCAGACGTGAAGCCATCAAATTGGTCGGTCCAGTCTTCAAACATCAATTTGGCAATCTCCTCGGCTGTGTCGGGCATGTCATTGTCGTCTTCTTCTTCTTCCTCTTCGTCGTCGTCGTCGTCGTTGTTGTTGTCGTCGCCATCCTGCTCGTCCGAGTTTGAAGGGCTGTCGTCATCCGAGTCGGAAGAGTCCGAGGCCGACCCTTCCTTGGCGACCGATACCCCGCCCACGACCGCGACCGCGACCGCGAACGCCCATGCCACCACGTTGCCCGCGACCCCGGATACCGACTCTCGTTTCGACCTCGTCGGTTTCTTCAGTCGCATCAGCAGCGGCGTTTCGTCCTCGACCTCGACCTCGACCTCGACCTCGACCATGTCCTCGGCCACGACCCACGCCCTCGGCAACTGCTTGGTTGTTGCTGCCATTGGCAGAGCGCGGGAGCAATGCGAGACGATGAGCATCTCGAGCGGCAGTCGCCGCTGCAGCGGCTTGGCTGGCAACGGCAAGCAGCGTGGCATCTCGCTTCGTTGCATCGTCGACCTCAACGAAGGACACGGCAGCCTTTCGCGCGACTCCAACAGCCGCCATGAACGTCATCGTAGTAAAACGTCTAAACTCTCGCTCAGCGGGCTCCGCGAGAAGATGCGGCTTGGTCCGGACGAGTCGCATCATTGCATCGATTCGTTTATGCACCATCTCATGGAGTGCTTCCATCTGTGCGTCCACGTCGGTACCCGCAACGATTTCGCCCCGAAGTCGCATACTTATGGGCAAATTGCGAGCTGCAGGATTCGTGGCGTGTGCCACAACATTTTCCGGCAACTGGCCTTGCAAGTTTTGAATGAAGAGCAGGTGTGGCGCTGTCCTCATGAGGTGTTCCACGCATTCCACTTGACCGTACTTTGCAGCGTAATGCATTGGAGAATTGCCCTGAGCATCAAACCAAAAAACCGCGGAGGGTTTGACCTTGCTCATTATGAACTCGAGGGCTGCCTTGTCAGAGGCAGCGGCCCGCATCAGCGGTTTGCAACGGAGGTGGCCGTCCATGGTGAGCAGTCTGGGACTCACACTGTGCAACAATTCAAGCACTTCAGTTTTCCCAATGCCCGCAGCATCGTGTGCGGCCGTGTCGCCGTTGTTGGCACGGGTCCTCGGATTGGCGCCGACGCTGATGAGATGACGCATCACCTCAATCTTGCTGCCACTCCAGCTCATTGCGCTGTGCAGTGGAGTGCGGCCAGTACTGTCGCGCGATTCAATGTAGGCACCAAACGAAAGCAACAGCTCCGTCATCTGCACGCTCACACGAGCGGCATAGTGGAGTGGAGTTGCACCCTTGCCGTCACCGAGATTGAGCCCGAGATCGACGATGGGCCGAACTCGTCCGTCTGGCAGAGTGAACACTGGATGATGACCAAACCGTCGCTGCACCTCCTTAGCGCCTCGAAACGAGTCGGGAAGCGGGCCGTAGGTCGCCGCAACGATTGCTTCCAGCCGCGCCGTTTCAGAGCGGAGCATGTGAGCCACCAGCTCGAGCTGATCGCGAGCGACCGCCGTGTGGAGTGCTGTGCGACCACTGACATCGACGAGACCCATCCACGAGGCTGAGACTCGAGGAATGGAGGCCAACGGCTCGGGTTGCAGGGGCAAGTTGATGGCTAAGGATGAGTGGACGAGCGGCTTGAACGCGGTGGGTATCGCTGGCCGCGCAGCCGCAGCAGTAGCGGGTGCAGGAGGAGGAGTAGAAGGAGATGCATAGGACGGGAATTGGCGGCGAATTTCTTGCTTGACGCGATCGCTGCACAGGTGCCAATGGTTGAGAAGAGCCATGAACATGTCTGGCCACGGTTTGAGCCGAAGTTCTTGCATGCTGTACGAGGAAGAGACTGGTTGACTGAGCGTGGAGACTGGCGCTGCCAGCAGCAGCGAGGAAGATGGTTTGACTGTCGAGGCAGACGCAGCAGTTGGCGTTGCAGTTGGCGCGATGCGGGCAGAGGCAGACTGGTTTCGAGTATCCCGCCCTGCTTGCTGAACTTGCGGTGTGCTGCCGCCCTGCTTGCTGAACTTGCGGTGTGCTGCGCTGGACGGCCAGGCTCGCTTTGGCTGGTTTCGTGACAGCGGGGGCTCAGTCGCCTGAGTCGTCCGAGTCGTCCGCGTCCGAGCCAGGCTTGCTCGAGCTGGCTGACGCGGCATCCTCGCCTTGCTCGAGCTGGCTGACGCGGCATCCTCGTCGCTGGATCCATCAGCATCGGTTTCCCAATCACCGTCGTCGTCGTCGTCGTCGTCGTCGTCGTCGCTCTCATCACCGTCTGTCTGCAAGTCACTCGCAGAATCATCTGTGCTTGCCCATTCGTCACTGTCGGACTGCGCGGGCTCACTGGCGTTGGTAGCAGCGACGGCGTTTCGGATCGAAGCAGTGGTTGCCTTACTGCTGCTGGTGGTGGTGCTGGTGGTGGTTGTGGTGGTACTCTTGCTCCGAGGAGGAGTGTTTGATGTCGGCGCTGCTGCTGGTTTCGGGTGCTGTGGGGCTTTTCCGTGATTGAGATCTGTTGCGGATGCACGCTCAGTCTTACTGATCATCGAAGAAGACGAATGATGCGGGGCGAGAAGAGCAGAGGACGACGAAGTGGCTTGCAGTTGTGCCAGTTCGACATCCATGTGGTCGTCCGGATTGAGCTGCGGAAAGACGTAGCTGCCAAAGCTGCTGGGAATGATGGTCTGCGGATCGGACTCGGCCTTGTCTGACGGCTCAGACGTGCCAAGAAAGTGCGCAGTCATCGGGATGATGCACGAAGCCATCGCATGCCAGCGAAGGGCGCGACAAACGAGCACATCGACCTGTCGCGTCACATGGCGCGGATTGGCAATGATCGTGCGGGCGAGTACGTCGAAAACGGACACATTGCCTCGCTCGCTGGCAATGGACAATGGCGTTGCACCAGACTTTGCGCAGACAAAGAGATCAGCTCCATGCTGAAGCAACAGCTCGACTGTCGCAGCGCAGCCATACCTGGCGGCGTACATCAGTGGCGTGAGGCCATTCTCTGTAAATCGGAGGTTGATCTGGTGTTTCGCCCCATTTTCCAACAGATGGGCGCAGGCAGCGCTGCCAACCGTCGAGGCCGCGGTCGCGCACAAAAGCGACGGCATCGTTTTGGTATGGCCTAGACAAGCAGCTGGAGCGCGCGCCAACAGCACGCGGAGCATGTCCACGTCGTTCTTCAGAGCAGCAGTGTGAATGACAAGTTGCCAGAAACCGCCAGAATGTTGGACCCGGACCTCGGCATTGGCGCCATGCTTGAGCAGCAAACTGGCAATTGTGGCTCGGGACTGGTGGACGGCAAGCGCGAATGGCGTAAACCACGGCGTGCTCTCCAGACAGAGATCAGGCTTCAGTCCGACCGTCTCAAGCAGATAAGAGACAATCTCGTACTTGTTGGCGGCTACTGCATAGTGCAAGGCAGAGGCCTGGTCAACCGTACTGATTGCGCTGAACACTTTGAGCGCGAAGGCCGAGTCGACATCAAGTAAGGCGCTGTGGAGGAGTTGCACGAGCGCAGCACTGCACCACGAGATGACAAGATGCACAATGTTGCGTCCTTGTGCATCTTCCGCCAGGGCCGCATGTGGATTGGCGTCAATAAATAGGCGCACAAACGCCGCGGATTTATTTCTGGCGCCAGTTAAAAGCGGCGTGTCGCCATTGGCATTCTTTGCAGTCATTCTGGCACCGGCTTCCAAAAGTAGCTCCGCCATTCTGACGTTGCCAAAAAGTACCGCCGTATGAAGGGCAGTGTTGCCACTTCGGTCTGTCACATCAAGCGGATGGACCACAGCTGGTGCTTCGTCCGGATCGGCATTTTTTATCTCGTCAATGGCTGACACGTCGTTGTCGGAGATGGCGCTGTTGGTTGCCGCGAGCCTGGGGCGACGACAGTACTCTAGGTAGAGAATTCCACTAGTGGCGAGAAAGGATTGGCATGCCAACATCAGTGGAGTCTTCCCTTCGACCTGGTTTAGTGTGCTGAAATCGGCGCCCAACTCGAGAAGGACTTTGATGCAGCTGGTCGATTGCTGCCTTGATGCATAATGTAAAAGCGAGTCACCAGACGGGTAGATGTAATTGACAAGCTGCATGTCGTGCATTAGGGCAAAGGCCATGAGCACTTCCAGGCACTGCGGGTGCTGTTGCTCGACCGCGAATCGCAGAGCAAACGCGATGGCCGAACGCGAGGTCGCAAGGACCTCAAACCCGCGGACACCCTCGAATTCGGGGGCAGGGCGGAGAGTCGCATAGTCTGCTCGGCTTGCCAAGTCGCTGACCACGAGCGTGGCCTGGTGTAGGAAATTATCCTCCATTGCCCACACCACCAGACAGCACGGCGACAGTGCTGGTTTGCGATCGGCGGTCGGGAGCAGTTGCACCATTTTCTGTGCGTGCGGCTCTCCGAAATTGACGCAAAAATGCTCAGAGTTCGAGGAGCCAGGAGCAGGGCTGCCAGCGTCTGGACCGGCTTCTGGATTGAACAGGTGCAAGGGAAGGAAGGCGACCGACAATCCGGTCAAGGTCTCGAGAAGGTCAAAGTTGAGCAAGCGCAATGCCAGCGCGCGTGCCACCAATGTTTCTGTCTCCGGCAGGTGTTTGGCGTGTTGCTCGGGGTTGTCATCGTTCTGGTCGATGTGGACGATGCGGCTTCTCACAGTGGTGGTGGTGGTGGTGGTGCTTGTTGTTGTGACCTGGTCGGCGGAGGCTCCCATGGATTGAAGCTCGGCCGCAATGCCTTCAAACACACCGTCGATGGCTTGGAATTCTTCGAATTCTTCTTCCGTCTCGCTTGAGTTGTTGTTGTTGTCGTCGTCGTCGTCGTCGTCGTCGTCGGTAGCTGGATTGTCTTCACTTGCTTCGTCAACCAGTGCGCGAGCATTGTCATGATTCTCTTGACGGTGATCGAGCGCCGCGCCTCGCAGCCGTCTGCCACCGCCGCCGCCGCCGCCGCCACCGCCGCTGATTGTGGACGACGACAGCATCTCGGCATCTATGATGGCCCGCAGCTGCAGTGCGACGACCTGCGCGCGCCGTCGTGCATCGAGACGCTCCGCCTGCTGGGCGAGTAATTGAGCGCGACTCGCTCGGGCCGCCAGCAGTCCGTTCTGCTGCTGGGCAATCCGCGGGTCTGTCAGTCCGCCGACGACCATCCCGTTGTGCTCTGAAGTGATCAACGTCCAGTTATGGCGCACAGAAGCAGCGAGACGCCAGCAAGTCAAGAAGTGTCCGTCTCGATCGTAGCCCCCCGGTTCAATGGCGTTGCTTTTGCGAGTCGTCGAGATCAGCGCAAAGGCTGTTGCAAAAAGAAAGACTTTGTTTCCCCCGCCCTCCTTTCACTCGTCAGTCACACGACAAACAACCGTATGTGTGAAACAGAGAGAATGAGAGAATGAGAGGAAAAAAGTTCAATAGAAAAGACTGAGCGGGGAAAAAGAAAAAAAGAAAAAAAGAAAAAAAAAAAGAGTGGATTCAACGTCAAACTCGCACAACAAATCACGACGAAGCTTCTATTCACAACACAAGGGGGAGAGAAGGGGCGGGGGAGAGAAAAGGGGGGGGGCAGGGCGCAGGAACGATGGAAAATTGAATGGAAGAGCCCTTTGAACCGAAACGCAGCCACTGAGACGCTCAGAAGCTTTGGAAAAGACGGACTGGGTTTCTTCATTTTGCCGCTCAACTGCGACTTTATTGCAAGGGTCGCTCTTCAAACTCAAACACACCATCCCAATGCTGAATGACTGACCCTGACTGCCTGGAGGATGGCTCAGTCTTGTTCGCCTTTGTCTTTGTGTTTGTTCGCCTCGCGTTGATCGTTCGCCCACCGCCCACCGCGCCTCCCATCCGTTCTCCACGGTGATGATGGCCAGTCAGTCGCGCCGTGTCGCAGTTGACTTTGAAGGCGAAACAGCTCAGCAGGTACGGAGATTCAAAACGCGCGTGTGTTTCGAATGTCGTCCTTGCGTGCAAGCAGAACATGAAGACTTTGGACAACGTTTGGACGCATTTCGAGGTCCTTTCCAACCACCTTTGAACGCAAAATCACGAAACGCAAACGCTCATACAATCATGAGGATGGGAGGGGAGGGGGACGGGAGGAGGTGGCGGGGAGAGATGGGACTGAACGAGTTGTTTTGTTTTTTTGGCGGGAAAACCCTCTTGTTTCACTCGCTCTCTTTTTTCAACGCGACTCAACCACCACCCATGTCAAATCCATCTGTGTTCTGTTCCTTGTGTTTTGCGTGCTTTTTGCAGCTCTTCCGCCGCCGCGATGTGGGCAAGCCGCTGGGCAACGTCGGGTTGGGCCCGTTCGCCGCATTGCCTCGAGGCGCGCTCGTGGAGATTGCCGGCGACGCGGGCACTGGCAAGACGCGGCTGTGCCTGTCGTTTGTCATCTCGTGCATATTGCCGTACGAGTACCGCGGCGTCTGTCTCGGGGGCAAGGGCGTCCACGCAGTCTACATCGACTGCGACTACCGCCTCGGCGCTGCAGACGTCATGGCATTCATTGAGGCCCATGTCCGCTCGACAATTGCATCACGGCAAGCGTCCGTGTCAGTGGTAGGCACAAGTACTCCTTCTGCCCAAGGACAAGGGCTGAATTTCAGCAGACCAGACTCGAACTCGGTCGTAGGAACGGATTCGAGCACTGCCTCCTCGCAAGACCTCGTTCTCACCGAAGCAGACATTGCGTACACGGTGCGCGACGCCATGTCGCGGTTGCTGATTGCCCGGTGCAACTCGAGCGAGCAGCTCATCATCACCCTTCATGCGCTGCAAATGCAGCTCGGTGGCGTGTTGCTCGAATCCTCGGTCGCTGGGGCACCCGTGCCCCAAGTGCTTGTGATTGATTCGGTCTCTGCGTTTTACTGGATGGATCGTGATTCGCACTTGCCATCGTCTCAGAAAGGCAGTCCTGCCTCGAGCATGAGCAATTTCGCTGCACAGCCCCTCGAACACAAGTACGTGGCGGACGTCGTAAAGCGTCTCTGCCAAGAGCATCAATTGATTGTTCTTGCTACCAAGCCGTCGTACTTTGCTTCGTCTTTGGCATCGTCTTCTGCTCGGAACAGCAACAGCAATAGCAGCAGCAGCAGTAGTAGCAACAACAACAACAGCAGGACCTCCGGATTTCGTGACTACATGCATCGCGGGTGGCAGCTCGCTGTTACCCACAGGCTTGTAACAAGTAATGCCGTTGCCGACAACCAAGGCATCCACCTTTTGCAAAGCATCTCCGCCGCTGGACAAGTCACCAACACCTTTTCGATTGGTTACGACGCGTTTGGGCACCAAGTGTGTTTGTCCTGATTCCAAAATGCGATTCCCATGTACATGTATCATACAGTTATTTATTTTTCAACCCGGCCTTTATTCATCTGACTTCTGAGCGCTGTTTCACTTCTGAGCGCGAAATGTGACTTGATTCGATCGTCTTATCATGCCATTGGTGTCCCAATTGATGCATGAATGAAAAAAATGACCCAAATGCCAGAATTATTCCCATTATGCATGTCAGAGGGAGGGAGGAGGAGCTCAGTCTGCCATGAGCACCCCAGCCCGCGTCGCCACTGTTGCATTCTGCTCGATTGCCAGCGCCATTGTCGGTTTCAAGCTTGTCGAGGAGTACGAAGTCCGCGCCGTTTACGAATATGTAATCCCAACCAAACTTCTCCCAATATTTAACCCCAATATCGAACCCGATGGTCCTGTCGACCCGGTCGGCGACGAGTTGCAGGTCTGTTTGAGCTGACTTTCCATGCCATGCTCTCCTCTGCAGCTCCAGCACCAGAAGCGCGAGGACGCAGCCCGTGCAGCCCGAGAGGCACAACAGTCGTCCACAGCCACCCAGCCACCCAGCACAGGACCCAGCGCAGGAGCGGACGCGCCAGTCGCTCGGCGGCAGTAAACGCGCTGGACTTGCTTCTCGCATCAAGCATGGCGACAGACAACCGGTCGCAGCTCCATTGCGCGCCAGCTCTCGCGCTGGCCGCCTTTCCGACACTGCTGCCAGAGTACTCTGCGCCGACGCACGAGGCCTTTGCGATCGCGCTCGCCGGCGGGTCGACGACGGATCTGGGACAAGCTCTGTCCGCGTACTCTGGCATTGTCTCAATCAAGGTATTGCATTTCTGAGCCGTCTCGAAAAATCTCGAGGTCTCAATAAGTGCAGAAAAGCACTGTTTATATTTTCGTGCATGATCTCACAGTCCATGATCTTGTATGTGCTTGTGTGGTCGTCGGCCACAGGGGAGAGAATTCCGACTTCGGCTTGAATTGTCCGCATCGACAAGGCTCGCCGATGCGGTCGTGGAAGGATGCCCAGCGCTGGTGCAGCTGCTGAGCGGGTGCGAGGATGTTGTCGCGCAGCGCATCAAACAGAGCGTGGACCTCAATGCATTCTCGTTCGAGCTGCGTGATTTGCTCGAGCGGTTGGTGGACGCTGCCGATCGTCCCGCCGCAACAGGTTATGTGCTACAGCAAGGCTTGCGCTCGAGCGAGTTTTACACCCGCGTGATTGAAGAGCTCGACGCGGTCGGGTGGCACAATGTATCGCTAGAAGATGACACGCTCTCCAACATTCGATTCACGGCACGGTAATTTTGCTGATTCGTTTCTTGGCATCACCGCGCGCGACTGCATCGGTTGTACTGACTTGGATTTTGTCTGGGTGGTGCACGACCGTCATTTATTATTATTATTATTATTTTTTGGGGGGGCTGTTTGTCCTTTTGCGCTTGTTAGGGATGATCGTCAACGCGAGCATTCACTCATTGTCCAACCCCATCCACAACACCCTGCCGTGCCTCCCACCTGTGTTGCAGCATTGCCCGAGCCGTTTCGAATCCTTCGCTGGAATTCAGCCAGTTCTCTCTCGAATGTCTTCCAGCAATTCCAGCAAGCTTTGCAGCGATTCCAGCAGCTTTGGGACGATTTGGATGAGATTGACGCCAACACTTGGGTGCTGGAGCCCGAGCGCCCGACACGCGATTGTTGCCATCGCCGCATGGCTCTCGGTAACGTCGATGTGCTTTGTCGAGGACAGCTGTTTTCTCCGATGTGTTTGGCTGCGAGTTCTCACTCCATTCTTGGACCTTTATGTTGTCAATTCTTTTTTTTTTTTTTTTGCGCACAGAACATAACTCTTCCGTGCAGATCCTTGTCAACCCGAAAGCAGTCCGAGCAGTGCCGGAGTGTCGGTTCCTTGGCGCAGATTCCATCGTCAACCCGTTGCGAGACGCCATGAACGACAACATATCCCAATGGTCTGTGCAGTGCGAGCAACGCTTGAATTTTGCTTCACGCTGAATGCTTACCATGCTTCTTGAATCAAACACCAGGGACGAAACGAAACCACTGCTGGCCAATTTGGGCATCGTGTTGAACGTACAGTTTCCTTCCCCTGCTACGGTCAGCCGCGAGGAAGTCACTGTGGCTTGTGGAATCTGCTACTCTTATGACCTGGGCGATTCCGTGCCAGACAAGGTCTGCGATGGGCCCAAGTGTCGCCAACCCTTCCATCAAGCGTGTCTGATCGAGTGGCTGCGTGGATTGCCGAGTTTCCAGCAGAGTTTCAACACAATATTCGGCGAATGCCCGAATTGCAGCAAGCCGATGGCTATCAAGCTCATGCCTGCGCGGTAGCAAAGAACAAAAGGCCCGACAGTCTGGTCTTCAGAAGGAAGAATTGCTCGTATTGTATTATGCAGAGATGGTACAACAAAAAAAAAAATATCATCAAAAAAAAAAAAAAAAAAAGAACATCACGGTTTGGCTATTTGCCCGCGACTTGGTCTAGCGCATCGCTAACGCCGTCCGCCGCCTTTCCAGACACGAGAGCAAACATTTTATCAAACTCTCCAATTGCGGTTCGCACAGCGCGGAGCAATGATGCTTCTCGTTGGCTATGAACAATGGCTTGCTGCCTCAAGAGCTCAATCCAAGCTTCCGGCGAGCTTGGCGGATTGCTGTTGAGAAGTCGAGCAAACGTGTTGTCGGTGAGAATCACGAAAAGCACCAAAGGTAGCAAAGCCCGCAAAAATACCAACACTCCCAAGCAAACAAGCATCAGCCAAAGAAGTTTACCTGGCGAGTTCAGCAAAATTCAGCTCCGTCCTACGATTCCACTCGTACAGCTTCGAGTCAATGCGAACCACTCGCGCAAACAGGACAACGTTGGCGATGAGGAGCACAAGGCAAAATACGAGCAAGATGATGGTCGCAGGTGTAAGATTTCGGCCCACGTTGGCTGTGAGCCACGAGAAAAAGCCGCCCGATGTTGAAATCTGCGGAGCAGGGATTGGCGCAGCTGGAGCAGGAGTAGCAGCCGGTGTCGGGGGCAACACAACGGTCGGTTTGACCTCTGGCACTTCTGCCGGCAGGGTGGCAGACGGCCGTGCAGCTCCAGCGGCCGGCTCGGGGCGCGGAGTCTTCGCAATTGTGGTTTTCAGGTAAACATCGAGGGCCTTGTAGTGATCGTGCAAGCCCTCAATTGTATTCGACTCAATAAAGCCTGGGCAGAGAATCCAAAATGGTTAGACAATCCTTTCAATCCACCGACAAACCAGCGGGTAAAAAAAGACAACTTACGTTTCACCAAGCCAAACACCGACTTGAAGTACTTGACTTGCGCAGTGACAGCCAAGCGGCACTTGCCTGGCGAGATGTGTGTGATGCAATAGCGCGACGACGCACCAAACGAGTCGCCGTATGGGACGTAAGGCGTGGTGGTGTTTGTTTCAACAATCGCCTTGGCCAACGATTGGTGCGCAAAAGTTCGCTGGTTTTCAATGCTGGACGTGAAACAACAAAAAAAAGCAACCGCATTCAAGGGAATTGAGTTTGACAAGCAGACGAAGAGACTTTTTTTTTTTTTTTTTTTTTTTTGCATCACTAACCATTGCGTGCTTTTCGGACCCATAGATTTGTTCAACTCCAAGATGTACTTGACTTCGCGAACGGTTTCATCATTCTCCACGTGCCAGGGAGTCATGTGAATCTCTGCCAAATAAGACAGAACAAAACCAAACGAAATGAGCGAACGACCAAAAGCAATGGAAAATCTGATTTGCTGGATTGGTGATTCGCCGTACCGCTGGATTTCCTTGTCTTGAGGAACTCGAGATAGCTGTCGCATTCCGTGAAAATCAAATTGTACAGCGTATCGACGTCCGTGTCATAGACTTGGTTGAGAAATTCAGTCTGGTAGTGTTCAGAACTGCTGCAGCCACAGACGACCTCTTTTTCTGGATAGGCTGGCAAGGGTACGGGTTCCGGCTGTACTGCGGCGGCGGTAGCAGTGCTCGTGGAAGCAGGGCTGGGGACTGACGGCGGATCAAGACTTGCAATGCTAGGATGAGGGGTTGGGATGGGCAGCGTTCCCGCAGAGCCAGGAAAGAAAACGGGCGCAGACGCCGAATGAGGGATGTGTGGGACGTCGGAAGTCACTGCTGCTGGAGGAGAGGCGACACTGGCGGGACTTTGAGGCCCGCTGTCGTTTGAATCTGTGCTTGTTCGGCCTGTCGAGGTGCTTGGCCGAGATCTGGATGAATGAATCGATGGGTGAGTCTGCAGGCCTCCTCATGGCGAGAGCAAGCGCCAGTAGAGGTGAATCTTACGGTTCATCGGCATCGGACGCCTTGAGTTTGTCCTCGGAATGGCGGGATGTGCCGTCGTCGCCATTCGCTGTGGACTGCAAGGCGCAAAAACAATGTTAGAGGTTGTCAAATCATTCACATCCGCGTGCAACGAAAACAAAGCTTACCCCAGAGGCTTCTCTCCCATGCGACTTCCACACAGAGACGAGCTTGCTGTACACCTGATCGCGTGAAAGAATCGAGGAGAAGGTGTGTTTGCTGGTAGGTGTGGAAACTTGAATGGCGTTTGGGATGATGAGCGCGGTGCGTTCTTTCGTAATGTCCGTGATATCGTCGAATTGAAGCACCAGCTGCAAGAACCACACGGGTCAAATGAGTGAGTGAGGTTTATCGCACACTCTCAGCAACACACCAACGAGGACCATTATTTCACAAGAGGACAGCAATCGCCCCTTTTTTGCAGCTTCGACAATGACTGGCGGGGGTTTGAGCTTACCGAGGTCTCCCACGAGAGAATGTTTGCGTAAAAGCAAAGCCAGTTCTGAGAAAAGTAGAGCCGACCTTGGATGAGGATTTCTCGCTGCAGCGCGCAGGAAATGTCTACAAGGTACAAAATCGAACGAGTAGAGAGGTCAGAAGAAAAGACAGGGACATTTTTACGCAAACGCAACCTTCCTCAAAGATGCTCAGACATCCCAGCAACAAAAAGCAAATGCACGGAGGAAATCAACCAAAAAAAAAAAAAAAAAAAAAGTCACCCCATTCACTTCAATCATGATGATGACACGCTCGTCATTTCAAAGTTCAGACAAAGCCCTCGAATCACCAACGAAGCAGCAGCAGCAGCAGCAACAACACCAAAAAAAGCTGCCTACCGTCGATGAGGCCTTCGGTCTCGGGGACGACCTTGAACAGGCTGTGGAACTCTTCGTCCTTCTTGATCTCCTTCTTGATGCGATCGCGCTCCTGCTTGGACAGTCGGCTGGCGGCAGACGACACGGACGACACGGACGCAACAGACGAGCCCGACGCAGACGTCGTGAACGAGCCCGACGCCGCAGCCCAGTCCGAGGAGGCAGATGAGGCCGAGGGAGGAGACGCAAGCTGAATGACATTGTTCCCGGCCGCGTTCGTCGAGTACACGGTCGCACTCGCGGCGTGACCACTGCCAGCATTGCTGCTGGTGCCGATATTCGTGGCGGTTGGAGCACCACCAGCAGCAGCAGCAGCAGCAGCATTCGCAAAAGTGGGCGTCGCTGATGGCGCTTCGGCCGGGAATTCGCCAGCCACTTTCGCCGTCGGCACCCTCGCAGACGCCTCGCCAGACTGAAGAAGCGACGGCGACGACGAGGAGTGTACAGAAGCAGATGTGGGCGCAGACGGTGGCGTAGAGCGCAGCTGCGGTTGTTGATACTGCTGACTCGATGATTCGCTCGAGAAGGTGGTCGGGCTCACGGCACCACTCCCGCGGCTCGGTGCATCGCCAGACCCCGAGTGGCTCAGCACGTCGCTGGACAGCACATTGTTCGCACTGCTGGAGACGGCCAGGTTGCGGGATGCAGCAGCGTCGGATGAGGTTTGCATTTCCGATTCTGCAAATGAAGAATGAAGAATGGATTCATGCAACACTGTTGGTCGGAAAGCTACAGTATTGTGTGGCTGCTGCACTGTCAGGGCGCCTTGTACCTTCAAAACGACAAGAAACAAGTAACGTTCAGAGGACCCAAAGATCAACGATAATGAAAACTTTTTTTGTTCAACAAATTTCAAAACAACAATTACAAAAAACCACCCATGAATCTCCATCAAAGAGCGGCAGGAGGACACACCTCCCCCCCCAGCGCAGTTGCTCTATCTACAAGCGCTGGTAGGAATGGCGCCTGTTGTACCAGCGGACGAACAGCACAATCACGACGAGCAGGGCGACGACACCAACCGACACGCCGACGCCAATGGCAACAGCGTGGTCATCGCTGTCGGACCCGGGCCCGAATTGGGAGCCATACTTCAAGTACAGATACGAGTTGTAGTTGGTAAAGAAGAAGGGGCGGTTGTGCGCGTCGGACGGGCACTCGAGCGGTTCGCCAATCTTCCAGTCGGTGCGCTTGTGTCCGACGGGCTCAACCATCGAGTTCCAAAGAGCCAAGCCTGAAGCCTCGTGGGCAATAGATGCAAAGTGGAAGCAGTCAACGGCAAAGTACGAGCGATCGGGCGTAACATTGTCGGCCAAGAGCGGGATCTTGGTCTTGGAGAAGAAGGGCTGGTCGACGACCGTAAAGTTCTCGTGCGAGTTGTACTTTGGCAACTGAGCGAGTTCAGCAACGGCCCGTTGGTACTCGACAATGGTGGCGGAAATGTTGGCACGAATAGTAGTGTCGTTGACTCCTCCGAGGCAAGGGCACAGCTGCTGGTGCAAGGCGTCGCACATGTCATCGTGCACCTCAAACAGCTGGGTAACATCGAGCAACTCAACCAAGTTGACCAGCGTGCGTGGAAGCCCTTCCAGGAGGATGTCCAGAGCGGCCTCAATGTTGTCGCGGATGAACTGCGGCGAGTGCAGGGTTTCATTCAAGCAAAGAGCGCAGGCATCGTTGCCACCAATGAAAAGCGTGACCACCTTCCAGTCTTTCTCCCAGTCAATGGTCGGATCGCTCTTGGTCTTGTTGACCAGGCTCCTGGCTTGAGCAGGCAAGCCGGTGGCAATCGCGCCGGAAACCGCAACGTTCAGCCCGGCGGTGGGGGGAATCTGAAACAATGTGTTGACACTTGTGCTAAAGCCGGTCACGTCCGGGTTGTATTCTTTAAGGATGTCTGTGGAGTTGGAAGTGCGACGGCCGGGGGGGGGAGAGAGAGAGACGCACAGACACAAGCAACAAACCGGTGAGAGAAAGCTCGGCGAACGGCTCGTTGAAGCCCAAACCCAAAAATCCAGGACTGCCTTACTGGGCAAGGTGATCTGCTCTGCGAGGGAACCGCCGCCGCCAACGCTCCAGGAAATGTTGCGATATTCGTACAGCATGCCGTCAATGGAGGGATCCATTGCTGCATAGGCTGCAGTGAGACTGTCACCCAACGCGGCAACAACCTTGATATCGCCAGGGCGAAGCATGTGCACAGAAGTGGGAACAGTCTCTGAGACACCGCCAGCTGTGTCGCACGGCATATCCAACCCGCCAGTCGGCTGTGCAAACCGACAAACAGCGGCAAACAAACAGACAAAAACAACAACGGCAGAATGAGTGCTCTCTCTCTCGGTCAAAGGGGCAGCACCGTCATCATCCATTCACGTTGATGATACAAGCGACGAGTCACTGATTCACCATCCATCGATGGTTCGAGACTGTACCTTGCGGGTCGAGAAGAAGGGCGCCGTGAAGAGCTGAAGCTCTGTGGTTTGACAATGGCACTCGGTTAGTCCAATCGCTCCCTTCCCTTCCATCAAAACCACCTCCCATGCAAACGACAGTCTGAGTGTAAAAGCGAGAGTGACTCGCTTTGCCCCCTTCTTCCCATCCATTCCACTCTGCTGCTGGCCCATGTGTTGGCGGTCAGTTGATCGATTGATTGCCTTTTCGCCTTCTGTTTGGCGCGCTTTTTGTTTTCCAGGTTTGCTCGTCCCACTGCGCCCCCGACTCGACCATGGCATCTGCTGCATGTCTCACTGCATTTGCACTTCCTCGCGCCTCTCTTGGACGCTCGCCGCCGCTCCAGCCGCTCGCGTTCGTGTCCGGATGAGCAGCGGGTCCAGCTTCCAAAACCAGGTGACTTTTTTTTTTGTTAATTTTGATTTTTGATTTTAAAGTTTTCGTTCTTGCTCTCCCTCTTCGACGGCGGAACAGGAGGGATGAGGAGGGTGAGTGACCGATGCATGAAACAGTCGCCTTACGCTCAGCTGTGAGCATGGGCAGGGCTGCTGCGCTTGCGGTCGACACGGCGACGGCAGCCACAATCAGCGCCAGAAGAATCGCTCTTTGCATTGAAGTTCCGACCAAAGAATAAAATAAAACAAAGAATGACGTGACATTGAAAAAGCAGCAAACCATCGAAAGCGGAAAGCCTGCTGTTTCAACATCCACAACCAATCACTTGTAGGATTCTTCTTGAAACAATAGCGCAGAACAGCTGGCAATGATTTTTTTGGTCAAATTCGCGCTGAAGTGCTTCGCCGAAACAAACGCATTCAATACGAAGCTTCTGTCTGCCTCTGTCGGCTCGGTGTTTGCTTTTTTTCAATGGAGTAATTTTCTTTTACTACCATATGACTTTGCTGCTGCAGGAGGTGGATCGCGGGGGGAAGCGGTCGCTGATCAGCAGGTACACAAAGCGAGTCAGCAGACGTACATGACATGACTTTTTTTTTTTTTTTTTTCGCCGCATTCGCACCCCTCCCCCCTGCTGTTGCGTTCCTAGCTCATAATGCACCACCAAGCGACCCGGCTCACACTACAATTCTTCGCGCGTTCTTTGAGTGACTTTGTTGAGGACCTTCATAAGCCGGGCGGGCGAGCGGGGTCGATCGAGAGAATGCCGATCAGTAATCACCATCGCCCAACACTTGTTGTTTTGCGCATTTTTTGGACTTGTTCTATTATTCTATTGCCTGCGCTGTCCTGTTTCGCAACTCGATTGGAATCTCCATCTGGTCAACACACACAACAAAGTTGCCATCCATCTTCTCGCTTGGGTGGCGCGGCTCATCCGACGTGTGGATTGCTTTTGCCGGGGTGTGATGAATGATTCATCCGATTTTCCAGTCCTATTTTTTTTTTTTTTTTGTTGTTTTCCAGAATGAACACCAAGATTGCCGTTCTTGCGCTCCTTGCCGTCCTCGCCGTCGCTGCCTCTGCCGCCCCCGTGTCGCAGACCAAGTACCTCGAGTACTTTGAGGATTGGGATGCTCCCAACCGCCTCGGTGCCTCCTGGACCAGCTGCGGTACACAAACCTACTTTTTTGATTTGTTATGATTTTTGAAAAACCCCCTTTTTTGATTTTGCTTTGGAAGCGGGTTTTGCTTTCTTTGTCGATCGCTGTGGTGCGTTGCTGCCGAGCTGCAAACTGTCGGCACGGTCGCTGCAGCATGCGTTTATGATGGAGTGACGAAGCGGAAGGCGATGCGCACCAGCAGGAGCGAGCTTGAGAAGTGGGGAAGAAGGCGCGAAATCCATGTGCCTCTTTGCCGCTCTTCTTCCCCCCCTTTTTCGTTCTGGTTTTCTTCTTCCGCTTGTATTCAGTCGCAGCGACACGCGACCAGAGTGCGTATTCAGCTGCAGATCGTTTTTACAACGCATCACGCAACACGCAGCTCGCAAAACACAAATGCAAAAGGCAAACAAAAATGAACGGAACCAAAGGGCCAAAAGACATTAAAAAAAAAAAAAAAAAAAAAAACGGAAGTCGATTTTTTCGTTGTTTTTGGTGTCAGATGACTTTTTTTTTTTTTATTTTTTTATTTTAATTTTTGTATTCTTTTTATTTTGCGAGCGTTCTCAACGTGAGACGCTTTGCTGCTGCTCAGAGTTGAACACTACTTTTATTATTATCTTAGCGATGGGGGGGGTGAATTTATGTGATGGACGGGAGGATGGTACGGCAAACCCGAAAAACAAAAGGCCCGCTCGCACCTCTTTCAATGCCTCTATTCTTTGTTTGGTGTTTTGGTTTCCCCTCCCACCGTTCGTTTGGATTGCGTCCAGCATCACCATGTACTATTGGATGCATTATTCATGATATTTAGAACGATGATTTTGAGCCGTGCTTCGTTCCCCTTGGCGCCGACCCGACCCATCGCGTTGCACATTATCTATTTCACACTCACTGACTTGCTCATGCACTGGATCCTGCTTCAGGCGGCGCCAACGACAAGTTCAAGATCTCGTCCGTCGTTGTCACCCCCGAGCCCATCGTCAAGGGCGGCGACCTCAAGGTCACCTTCAACGGCGTTCTTGCCTCGAACGTCACTGCCGGCGAGATGAACCTCTCCATGAAGTGGGGCTTCCTCACCGTCCTCACCCAGACTGTCGACGTTTGCACTGTTGATCCCACCGCCCCCTGCCCTCTTGCTGCCGGCCAGCTCAGCATCTCGTCCGTCTCCGCCATCCCCGCCAGCACCCCCTCTGGCACCTACACTGCCACCATCAAGGTCACCGACCAGACCAAGACCCAGATCTCCTGCGTCACCCTCAACCTCTCCATCTAAGCGAGTTGCGTGAGGAGCAGTCTTGTTTCGCATGGTCCATCTCTTCCTGTTCGTTGTAGCTCTGTGTTTGGTGCAGACCGCAGCTTTTGCGTGTTTTGTGCTAGAGCGAGTGAAGGTGCGCGGCGCTGAGGGTGGGCTCACCATGTGCTTACTTGCGGTGTCAATTGTTTGAAGCATTTTAAAAAATCGTAGAAAAACCAAAAAGTCACACACACACCTCTAGTCGCTACAATGAATGTCTGCTTTGCAGATAGCTTTTAGACAAATACTCGTTGTTGGATGTTAACATGCACTAACAACAGCACAAAAGCATTTTCAGGGGGAACCATTTCGTTTAATCATCCATCACACATGAACTTCACGAACATTGCGAACGACAAACACAGTGGGTGGCAAGGCGTTCGAAGGCCGGGCCTCGGCCACCAACACAACGTTCTGAACATGAGGGGCAAGCGTCTTGACCACTTCGGCATCGGCTGCGATGAAAGAAAACGAGCGAACAAACAAACAAACAGACAAAAAAAAAACACAAAGAAAAGATTGAAAAAAGCAGGTGAGATTGGATTCAGCACCAAGGACGCTGAACAAGCACGTACTGTCAACATGCAGTGCGGGCTCCAGATGCCGTGCCATGTGCATAAGACCTTCGGGTGTGTCACAAAACAAGAGATTCTGCATCACATGCAACAGTCAAAGCAGGCGTCAGCTCCCACCCATTCCATAATCGCAACGCCATCAAAGCAAATCTTCCGCCACAACAAAATAGAGCTGATACGTTGCGAAGAAGTCCGTTCTGGAAAGCTCCAGCCTCCTCGAGTGCTTGGCGAGCGGAATCCTCATCGGCGTCGGACGCACACTGCTGGATCAGCACGATCGTAAAGTGCGACGACATGCTCAACACGTGTGCCAGACTCTCAGCCATGACTGTTAGTTTTCCAGTGGTTGCATCTCGACGAAGCACGACCTGTGTGTCAGCATTGAGCGCAACAACTGAGATTTACCCCAAAGTCACAGCCCCGGGAAACCCATCGCTGACTCGACAAACACACCAGGCAGAGGACAAAAAAGAGGCTCCCACTCAAACTCACATTCAGTGCAGCACAAGTCATCCTTGGGCGGGACGGGCTGGCAGCGGCACTAGCAGGTCGTGCGTTGGTGGCTCGGCCAGCAGCAGGCTGTCTCACACACACACAAAGATACACACAGATACACACACACACGCAGAGACTATTATCAGCATCACCGTTCACTCAACCAGGCCACATCCTCATCCCAGGTGGATGGAGAGACAGGCACAAAGTAGTCTGCACAACCGCAGCCACTTCAACTCTCCGCCACACAGTCACTTGTCACCTCTCCTCCAGGCACAGGGGCGTTGGGCACGTTGGCTGGTCGTCGTCGAGAGGTGGCCTTGACAATAATATATGCGCCAGCTCCCACAGCAACAACCGCCATGACGGCAGCGAGCTCCCACCACTTGTACTTGGCCATCCTTTGAAACAACAATAGCAATAGGGACTGCATTTACATTCTTGCACGCAGTACAGCCAGAAGTTTCCAGGTTCCTGTGTTGAATTTGTCTCCCTTTTTCGAGCGCGCGTTCTACTGTATTTACTGCAAGACTCGACCTCCCGCTGCAGCGTTGCTCAAGTGCTTGTCGTCTCTGTAGAACAAAGGGGTTTGAGCAGTTTCAATCTCGTATTAAACTTGTCTTGGTCACGTTGATATACACATTGCTTTATTGAATTTGGAGTTTCAAGTAACGGAGGAAGGGAGGGAGAAAGTAATTCTCAGCTCAGCGGTGAGTCGCTCTGCAGAGTTCCAAAACCAATTGAGCGTCAGCCTGCACATTCACCCAGCACAGTAATTTATGCTAGAGGTTGGACTGTCTACGGCTCAATCGGACTGGGCAAAGTCCGAGCCCGTTTTCGGGGGCTGTTCATCGCTGTGCCAGGTCAACATCTCGTCAGACAGGCGAGCAGCAAGTTCAGGATCGATCTGTTCCAAGAAAGCACGGACTTCTTTGTGGTTGGAAAAGTATGCCTTGCGTTTGGAGCGCTCTGCAACAAACCGCTGAGCCAGGTCATCGGCTTCGGCTTGCGTTAGCTTCTCACTCCAAAATTGCACCGTGACAGCAGGCCCGTCCGACAGGTTTGGGTTGTACGAGACGAGTGCTGTGGAAATGCAATGAAAAGAAAGCAGCGTAGTCAGTTGAAACAGCTTCGACGCCTCGAGAACATTAGAACTGTTGCAAATACCATCAACGATAGGCGTCAGACCACAGAAAAAACGGCGCAGCTCGCTGCGCGAGACAAGCCACGATTTCGCCTCGAGACTTGAACTGCAAAGCGCTTGAGTCATGCGCTGCGTGGAGACGAGCCCGGCAATCAGAGACGCACTACCGTTGCGCTGGTCGGAGATGAGGCCTTTGGCCGCATTTTCGGACAGCGACTCGAGTCCAGTTCGCAGTTTGAGTTGAGCTTTGCAGGGGACCTATTGGCACTCCAGTGAGAAACAGCCGAATCGGACAAAACCTGCCTCCAACGATGGTCCAAAGCGCCACTTACAATCTCAGGCTGAACTGCGGAAGCTGAAGTGAGGGCAAAGTTCGCTACAGCATCTGTCGCTTGCGTACTGGGCTTGGATAGCGAAAAGCCGCTTGTCAGCTTGTCGTTCTTCTGAGAGAACGCTTCCAGGACAACCTCGGACGACGACAAATCATTGCTCAGGATGGCACCCTGCAGCAGCTTAGAGAGGGGAAGACGCAAGTCGGCATCCTTTGGAGTGCCGTTCTTGCATGCAGAGCACAACGTGACCAGCATGCGCAGATTGAGCAAACAAGGAACGAGCTGCTCCAACTCGTGCCATGGAAGAGTCGCCAAGTCGTTGTTGATGGTTTCGGGCAAGAACAGTTTGCCAACCACTTTTAATTCTTCCAGCAGGCGAATCGCGAGCTGCAGGTATGGATGCTCAGAATCTTGAACAAGTTGGACTGTCAACCAAACCACAAAAGATGAGAAGTTCGATCCAGTCGACAAATACACATCAGCTTTCTTGGAAGTTCGCTCACCAGATTCTAAAACTTGCGGGTTCAGTGTAAGCTGAGAGCGGGGGTTTGAAGTTTGCACCCAGAAACAAAGCCCCAAATCGACAAAGTCTTCAATCAAACGGTCATCTACATGAGCGTCAGTTGACTGGAAAACCACGGCTTCGACAACACGAGTCAAGGTTGAAAAATCCATCCGAACATGTTGATGGGGTTTAACATCGTTTGAAAACACCTCTCCAATCTGCCGAGGATTCCCGACTGCGCGCTGCAGAAGTTGCGTGATATGTCGGTCTCGATGCCAAGTTGAACCATCGAGGTTGAGGGAGGTTGCCTTCTGCGCTGAGGCAGCACCAGAAAGAAGTGGCATATCGATGACGCTGGCGGGATAAGTGCTCCCATTTTCAGTGTCCAACCGGTCGAAGCGGGCCGCATTGGCCAGCAGCAATGGACGCGTGCCACTGAGGAACATGATGAGTTTGCCCGCCGGAGTTGACAGTTCTCGAAGTGGCGCGATGGCCAGTTTCAGGAATCGACGATCTCGGCGCTCTCGTGGCAGTTTGTCGAAGTCCTTGTCGAATCTCGCATTGACCGGCACTCCCAAAAGCTTGCTTGCTTCATCAAGGGTGATGATTATCGGAACGAGAGTGCCAGTGGGTAGACTGTGACGCGAGACAAAGTCTTCGCGAATGTAGTCTACAACGTCGGTGACGCGAAAGGAACCAGTGAGGGAATCTCGGAAGCTGGGACGCTGGGTTGCCGGAACGTTCAAATACTCTTCGAGTATACGCCAGGACACTGCGTGCTGAGGATGCTTGTCGCATTCCTCCGAAGTGAATGAGCTTCGGCTGTTGAAAGTGACATTCAGACTGATGAACCTTCCGTCAGGATGCACTTGCTTTGCAAGGTCAGAGTGGATGAGGTCGCAAAAGGCTGTTTTGCCGGCACCTGGTAGCGTAGCAATCACACCAATATTGAATCGATCGGTGGCATTGTGAATTCGTGTGACTGCGCTCAAAAGATTAAGAGCAGTTTTCTTCGCTTGCTCGCGCTCAAGCAGGACCACTCCTGACGCCTAGCATGGCAAGGAGCACATAACATAAAGTGAGCACATCTTACGCATCAGTGGATCAGAATTGGCGAGATTTCAACGCAACGTCGGACCTTAGGAGGAAGCGCATGTCGAACTCGTGTTCGGGCAGCATCAATCTGGTTTTTGACGGTCTCAGCGTCGGCGAAGTCAACTACAAGTTGCAAAACAATGTGAACACACACACACACACACACACACACACACACACACACACACACACACACACACACACACACACACACACACACACACACACACACACACACACCACATACCAGTGATGTTCGTTGCAGCAAGCTGCCGTCGCAGCTGTTCGACTTGCTGGACACTTTGGTCGGTAGCTAGCTTGGAGTTAAGCTCGTCATTCAGCGCCCCAAGCAACCTAGCTCCGAACCAATCGGAACCCACCAGCATGGCACAGAGAGTTAATTCCAACTGCCGGAGTGCAGCTGCGGCATCGGTTTTCTGCTTGTCAGTTGGAGCATCAGTGCCCGCTTGTTGACCATTCAAAAGCTGCTTGAGCTTGGCGCGTTGGGCAGGTTGGGTGGTAAGTTCTGAAATTGGCACCAAATTGACTGAGACGCCAAGACATGCGGCCAACGCGCTCAGCTGTTCACTGTCCAAATGCAATAAAAAGCAAAGTCAGTCAAACCAAGACAACGACAGCTCCAGTGTGACGAGTAGGGCAATCAATTCATTACCTGAACGTTGCTTGAGCTGGATTTGCCGCCTGTCAAAAAAAAAAGAAAAAAAAAAGCAAAAGTGAAACAACTGGTCAGTACCTCCCGTCCTCGCCACCATCAAAGTCAAAGTCGATGCTTTAGTCTTTGTTCACTGAATTACACCAAGTTACTGTCACGAGGAATTGAGGGATGGCTGGGGGGGGGAGAGCGGGAGAAGGGAGAAGCAGAAAGAAAGGAAGAAAGGAAAAAAAAAAAAAAAGGACCAGGAACAGCCAACACGACAGTCTGAAGCGACGGGTGCGAGCCGGCCATGCCACCATACTTCTCTATTCGCGCTCATAGCATCACTCAACGTTGTAGACGGAGGGGCGCTGAAACGACAGGAGCCGGTTGAGAAAATAAAAATGAAAAAAGAAGACAAAGAAAAGAAAAAGATAATAAAAAAAAAAGATAAAAAAAAAAGCCATGCGCTCGTTCGCCGCTGGTTCGGGGCTTCAATGCGCAGCGGCTCAATGGTGCAGGGGCAAGGGGATCATTTGCATTGCAGCGGCATGCGAGCGGGGAGGGTGGAGAGGCGACAGACAGGAGCAGGGAGAAGGTTCCAAACCAAAGCAAAAAAAAAAAAAAAAAAAAAAAGGCGCCAAAAATCGCCAATTGCCAAGAATTGCAAGAACAGAACCGATGCATGTCGTTCGACCCCAGTTTC